CGATGTGTGTGGGAAGACGGCGGTGGCGTTCTGCCAGATCTGCCCCAGTTCATTCTGCAAGCAGCATAGTTTGGGGGCCCTGAGGCCCAGCTCCGACGGACAACACCGCTGCTTTGCCGAGCATGAACACGACAAGGTCACGGCGGCCCCCGCCGCTCCTCCTCCTCCTACGGAGGAGCCACGCAGCGCCGCGCCGGAGAAACGGCGCCACCGGAACTCCGTCTCGGCCGAGACCACGACGGCAGCGGAAAAAGATTGTGTCGGTCAGAAGCAATACTCCCCGGGCTCTCGCCTTCCTCCCGGGGTTAAGGCGGCACGGGGCAAGGGCGAGATGAGGGCGGCACGTGCGGCCAAACGACCCTCCCCTGTTGAGGAGGCACAGCCCTACCTGGGCTTTCCGGACGTCTCCATTCCCGCAGGCTTCTCCGACATGGACATCTCGAGCGACGTGTGTCTGCAGGACATGGCGGCGGCGGACGAGGAAGCGGAGTGCCTGTCGGACGTGGGCGACGTGGGGGCTCGAGCGGACTGCCTGCGGGACGCGATGCTGGGGGAGGGCCGGGGCTGCCTGTCACGTGGGGGCCCGCTCTCCCTCACGGGCATGCGCATTGTGGAGATCACGAGCGCCAAGCGTGCGGGCTGCACGGCGCAGGACCTCTGCGGCAGCGGCGTGGAGGAAGAGGAGGAGGAGGGCGCGTGCCTGCCGGAGCCGCTCACACTGGAGCAGCACCACAACCACCACCTGCAGCAGATCGTGAGCGCGCGCCGCGGGCCGTTCTACCCCGATCTGCTGCACGGCACGCGCCGCGGGGGCGGTACAGAGCTCTGCCTGGCAGACGGGCTGAGCGAGATCGCTAGCATCGAGCGCGTGTGCGTGGGGGAGGCAGGGGAGGTGACGGCAGTCGAACGCGTGCACGTGGGGGAGGTGACGGGAGTCGAGCGCGTGCGCGTGCCGGGCGCGGTGGGCAGCGCCGGTCTGGGCGAGATTGCCAGCGTGGAGCGCGTGTGCGTCACGAGCGCGGGAATCGCGCGCACCGAACGCGTCGACATGAGCGACCTGTTGGGGCCCGACGGAGGCTTCTTCCCGGCGGCCATGATGGGTCGCCGCTGCTTGCCCGACTTCTCGATGGGGGAGCTACCCGGGCCGGGCCCGCACGGCTGTCTGCAGGACGTGGGGCTCAGGGACCTGGCGGCCCAGGAGCCCGTGTGCCTCTCGGACTTCAGCATGAGCGAGATATTGAGCGACCAGGACGTCTGCCTGTCCGACGTCAACATGAAGACGCAGTCGCTGTGGGGGCCTTGACGGCCCGACGTGCCGCAGCAACAAGAGGCAGCAGCCCCTTGAAATCATACAACTCTCCCGTCAACGACCTCTTGTCAACGCACAACTACTGGATGAAAGGAACCATGGCAAGCGGTGCTCCTGTGTTTCACTGTATCTCGAGGTCTGTGGGCGCGGCTTGTACCAGTATCTGAAAAAACCAGCACTGCGTCTTGCTGCGGTGTCTCCGATTGCTCGTTACTTGACAAGCTGTGACTGCGTCGGACTCGTCGGCGTGCCATATTCCACGAGGCTCGACGAGTGATGATGGCGCGGATGGACGTTTTCACGAAAGCGCGAGACAATACGGATCCGCCAGACATGAATGGGCGCAAGGCCTTCTCACTTACGCAGCTTCAGGTATCCTGTTGGGATGATGGAGCCCTCCTAGCTGGCGTTAGCTTGAATGATGGTAATTGTATTCAGTCCTCCCAGATCGCGATGGGGCCTTTCCCATATCCTACCTCAGTGCTCATCGTCTACGTCCGTAGCGCCTATTAATACAACTACACAATCCCATTCAATGTATTTAGATTGTGTTGTTCCTTGGGCCACTTCTTGTAGAATATGGGAATTTCTCTAGATCTGGGAGAGGGGGGGGTGCGTTTTGGTGTTTATTAAGACAAAGCTGTGTATTTTAGTCACTAGTGAACATTTCATATACTGTAGTGATCCTGTATGTGTAATTTATCCATTTAGTGTAGTTATTAGTGGAAATACTTGAGCCTCTGAGTATTGTGTTTGAAGTACGGCAGGTGGGCTTTGCTTCATGCCTAGCGGGGCGGCTTTGCAGCGATTGCAGTTAAAACCCCACAGCATTAACCCACGTGGTGGCAGCATGTGGCTGTTCCAGCAGCGTCTGTCTGCCAGGGCTCGGGGCACGGTGTCCTGTCAGCTGCAGCAACCCAAGCCACATTACCACCTACCTACTGTAGTCTCAGTACCGTTTCGGAGATCCCAGTCTTGTTGCATGTAGTGACAGGAGAGATGTAGTACCGTTTGTAAAAAAAATGTTAAAAGAAAAAAATTACATTGCAGATAAAAACGTGTTGGAATGACTGTGCCGCAATGCTTCATGAGCAGTGAATTGTATGCATGCTTGAATAGGTGCCGTGTGCTTTAGTGTTTGCGTGTGACCGACCTTTATCAAGAATCAATGTTTACCAGATCTCTGCTTTATTTTGAGAATTGTGAGAGCACCTCTGTTTAGCGTTACATGGGTCTGCAACAAGCAGGGGTGAACGCTTGCTGTACACCGTGCCGTCCGCTGGCTTTGCTGCAAATGTTAATGTTCATTTGTTTACAGCCATTTGTTCCCAGTTTAGCTCAGCCTGCATTAGCCCCCCGTTGTGAGAAGTCTGACCACACTGAGAGTGACAAATAAAACATTGTACTCTGTGTTTTAATATCCTGTACGTTGTGATATTAAGTTGTATACACGTGTCCTTGTTATTCTTCTTGTTCTCGTGCATCGCTGTCATCCGATGAGTCGAGTTGGCATGGAGACGGTACACTAAATTCAAATATAAAACACGTCACCTTAGACGTATTAATCTGTTGGCGAAAGATAATTTCCTGATGATTTTTTTTATGATAAAATAACAACAGCTGTCAATGAGAGGTATGGGAACTGTTTGCACCAACACAAACCAGGCCCTTAATTTCAAATTAAGTTCTGGTTTCCTTATAGAAATGCATAATTTGTTTATTTGGCTAATTTCAATTCATTGCCTCTAACCCGCAAGGATGCCCCTGTAAGCCGAGGCAAAAGTCCGCTGCCTTTCGAAAGAAAATAGAACTTTAGTGAGAGACTAATTTCCGTTTAGTCCCTGAGACATCTGGAACAAAACACTTAACTGTGCTGCATCTGTTCACAACAATCTCTGGAGAATACCACATCAATCATTGGGAAAGATGAAATGTGGGGAATTTACGGGCTTGGCTTAAGTTTTGGTGCAAATTAAATAATAAATCCCTCCGCACGTCGCCTCTTAATAGTTTTCTGTGCTTTTTTTCATCCCCCCCCCCCCCCAATTCCAAAATCCGGAATGGGAAACGACTCCAATACTTAAGAGAACGCCGTCCCCAAGTTGATGTTGGGTCGCAACCGCTCACGGCCCCACACGTGGAGGCGCAACGGTGACGAGGTGCTAACTTTCGTCTGACATGCAGGAGTGGCTTATCTTGTGAAAATCTATAGCAGCCAAATATTCTAAACGCATGTTTCTAAATGTGGAGGGAAAAACCAGAGGACCCGTAGAAAAACCCACGCGACCACGGTGAGAACATGCAAACTCCAAATATACAGGGGTCGGGGTCGGGATAGAATCCACAACCTCCTGCATACCAGGCGAGAGAGATAACATCTCGCCAGCGCTACCTGGTCTGTCCAGCGGTGTCAAGATCGGACTCTGTAGAGGAGGCTCGTGAAGGACGCTGCTGCTGGGCAGTGCCAGGCTAGGTGCACCGTGAGGCTACTGGGCAGTTGGAGGCAGTCGCCCTCCAACAACAACGGAGGGCGGAGGACCGACGCTCACAACAACGAGCGGAGCGCCGGGTGGCTAAAGCACAGCAAGTTGGCACAGTAGGGGGCACAAGTGGCGCATCAGCCACTCATCTCGGTCAGTCGACCCGTAGCACCTGGGTCTGCGCCGTGATCTGCAAGCGGGCGTTGACACTTCACGTGGCCTCAATGTGCACGTGGCCTGGCACAAGCGTCGTGGTGACGTCACCGCCACTCCGTGGTGAATGGTGGTGGTTGTTGTTGTCGTGACTCATTGCGCCCCTTCCGACAAGCAAGCCAGCATCAGGGGATTCAGGGCTGAAGGTCAGTGAAAATGTTTTTCTATTGTTACTTTATTTAATATTTTATTTACTATACAACTCCTGAGTTGTTTACAGTTATAAATGCTCACGTCCAATATTTCTTCTTATTCATGAGTTTATCAATGTTCCCTTTTTTGTTGAACCGTAACAGTTCATATCACTGATCTATGAGCATTTAAATAAGTACAATTTTGTTCCGACCTACGAATCAATTGTGTTCGTAAGTCGAGGAATGCCAAACAGTTTGCCTCACCTGGTTAAATAAAACATAGTTTACTGTATATGCATCTCAGAACATAAATACATTTGATTGCACTTTTTAAAGATTTCTTTACGTGTCATATACACATATATAGTTCAGTGGGTCTCGTGCTGGTAAAATAAAATAGCTTTTAGTTTTATTTTTGAATTTAAAGCTTTCGTGACTGCAGGGATTCATCTTCTTGGTTCTTTCGGTAAAGTCACGTAGAAGGGAAATAATAAAATAATAAAACAAAATTATTCTCACGACATTTCGGCTACAAGGTGAAGACGGCTGCTTGCGTTGTAGCCGAAACGTCGCGAGAATTATTTTATTATGTTTTATTTTATTATTTTATTACTTCCCTTCTACGTGGTGACTTTACCGAAAGAACCAAGAAGATTTAGTTTTGTCAACGTGTGCCGCTCTGCACCTGGCAGAGCGTGACGTCACGTCACCTACATTTGGTGGTACATGACGTCATTTACATAGCAGGCAAGAGACGTCGGCGACAACACGGACCCTGTCGCCGTCACAAGTAACCCGGATGTTGCGCCGTGACATCATCCGCGGGGCTCTCGCGGCGACCCGGAAGCCGCGTGGTGACGTCACGCTAACCCGGACGCGGTCGCTCCCGTCTCGTTCCGCGCTCCGTCTCCCGTCGCTCGCCCCGTCTCCCGCCGCCTCCTCCTCCTCCTCCTCCTCGCGACGTCTCCCCGCACCGCGTCGCCCGTCCGCTGCTCGCGTCGCGCCGCGCGCCTCGAGCACCGCGCGGGCTCTGGACGCGCCTCGCAGGTGCCGCCGCAGGCCGCAGGGCCCCGGGTCTTTGTCTCCAGCAGAGGCGCCATTGCGCGGCGACCCGACGCGGCGCCAGCTCCACTCGCAGCTCCGGGCCGGCCACCCCAACGCCTCAACGCCGCCTCCTCCACACGCAGCTCCGGGCCGGCCACCCCAACGCCTCAACGCCGCCTCCTCCACACGCAGCCGACGACTGCTGCGCCACACGACGGCAATCATCCCGCTGTGAGCACATCGCGACAGACACCCCACTGCCGCCAACCCCGCGACATCCGCGCCACCGCCACCGCTACAACCAGCCCGCTATGACAGTCACAATCCGAATACCCCGCGACCGCACGACCACCACCCAGCTACAACCACACTTCTACAACCACACTTCTACAGCCACACTTCTACAGCCACACTTCTACAACCACCCGGCTACAACCACCCGGCTACAACCACACTTCTACAACCACACTTCTACAGCCACACTTGTACAGCCACACTTGTACAGCCACACTTGTACAGCCACACTTGTACAGCCACACTTCTACAGCCACACTTCTACAGCCACACTTCTACAGCCACACTTCTACAGCCACACTTCTACAGCCACACTTCTACAGCCACACTTCTACAGCCACACTTCTACAGCCACACTTCTACAGCCACACTTCTACAGCCACACTTCACTTCTACAGCCACACTTCTACAGCCACACTTCTACAGCCACACTTCTACAGCCACACTTCTACAGCCACACTTCTACAGCCACACTTCTACAGCCACACTTCTACAGCCACACTTCTACAGCCACACTTCTACAGCCACACTTCTACAGCCACACTTCTACAGCCACACTTCTACAGCCACACTTCTACAGCCACACTTCTACAGCCACACTTCTACAGCCACACTTCTACAGCCACACTTCTACAGCCACACTTCTACAGCCACACTTCTACAGCCACACTTCTACAGCCACACTTCTACAGCCACACTTCTACAGCCACACTTCTACAGCCACACTTCTACAGCCACACTTCTACAACCACACTTCTACAGCCACACTTCTACAGCCACACTTCTACAACCACACTTCTACAACCACACTTCTACAATCACACTTCTACAATCACACTTCTACAACCACCCGGCTACAGCCACACTTCTACAATCACCTCGCCACATACACCCCCCCTCCCCCACTACAACCACCACTTCGCTACCACCACCCGGTACATTCACACCACTTCTCGTGATGCTGCTGCCCGTGCTAATTCCCCCCTCACTGACGCAACGCACCCAAATCCAATATTCTCTCTGGTGTGTTGTGAGTCTTTACATGTTTAACATACTTTGGCGTCAGGCTTTCTGAGCTGTTGGCAGGTATGATGGCGTGGGTACGTGAAGTGTCTGCATTAGTTTGTGCATCGCTGGTGTAGTAATAGGTTTGGTTTGAGTCCTGTGGCTGGTTTGGCTGGTGTGACAGTAAGTGGCTCTTCAGCAGCTGATGGTGGATGGTGTCTGGAGGTTCCGCTGCGGTCTCCCGACCTGTCTTATAGGAACTTGAGCTGGACGCGAACTCCTCTTGGCCTTCACGGTGGCACAACCATCCCACCTCAGGTCACTGTGCCACCAGGGCGGCTGTGGCTGCACTCAGTACAGGGGGAGGTGCTGCTCTCGGTGGCTTATCGCTAAGTCTACCCGGTATTTGCCGCGATCAGCATAAATCTGCGGAGTGTTGCCATATGTGATTGCTGGCAGGTTTGAGTGTGAAGTAATAATACTTTTTACTGAATCCCAGGGCGTTTTAGGAAGGTCCTGCATTGGGATGCCGGAAAGTGTTGTGTTGGTGAGTGTTGCTTTCTGAGTTTTGTGTTGATGTGTGATTGTTGCGTTGGTGGAGTGATGAGGGGAGCTGTGGAGACGTCCAGCGGTCTACCCGTGCGTAGGTGGCATTGTCAGAAAATGTCCTAAACCTTGATACTGGCATCACACACTGTACGCAGGAGAGTCAGGGGCAAGGCAGTCCAAACTTTAGCATCTTTATTTCAGACATGCTGACAACTGAGGTTTCCTAGTCGCAGGGTGGGGCTGATCGCGCACGCGGAGAACCTGAACTGAGATGAGCGGATCGCTGTAAGTGTACAATTGTCTGTGGCGGCGTGGAACGAGGGACATTTCCACCCTGCCCAGAGAGTCAACGCAATGTGGCTCCTAAACACTGCCTGGGACTAGGGGAGTTTACACTTGAATTGAATTATGTTATTCAGTAAAATAAACACGAATTCATTTTTTTCAGCATTTATTCTTCATCCCGTCCTAACGTTGGCCATTGTTGACAGATATTCATGGCAAGTTTATACGAAATAGGCATAGCTATTTTTAAAATTAACATGGGCTAATTTTTCATTTGTAGTATAGATTTTGGTTTGCAAAATGTGCTGACATGAGTTTTCAAAACGTAGTTTGGCACTGTTCCGCATCAGTCCAGTGAAGTTGGAACAGCGGCTGGGGTTGCGCTGGTTGTGTTGTTGAGGCGGTGCTGCCTGCAGTGGACGGGAGAATCCCTGCATTGGGAGTTTGCATACAGGGACCTGGGCACGGACGAGGCTCGTGTCTGCTCGGTGCCGTTCAGGAGCCACCAGAGGCTTTGTGCCGTGCGCGTTGGAGCACAAGCCCAGGTGGCTACATAAGTGTTTATTTAAACAAACGTACTCGTTCCGTGTTCATGTTTTCATGTGATTGATGCACCGTATCACATTTTTCTGCATTAACCAAACCAACTATTCAGTAAAGTTCGGGCCAAAGTGAACCAGAGCATAAAAAGAGGCTGGAGGTAGTATGAGCAAAAGTAGAGTAAAACAAATCCTATCACCTATTGTATGCCTTACAAATGGGCCACCCATTGTGACAGGTTTTGTGTAAAAAAAATGGAGTGTGTTAGCAAGAGGCTTGTGCACATTGATTTTGCCTTCTAAAAATGGCAGCACTGCCTTGTGGAATTTGCTGTGATCAGTAATAAGCATTATTTCACTTAGCCGAGCGAGTGTGGTTGGTATCGACAATGCTGCGCGGCTCGGCAGCACTGTGCCCCGTGCCTGTGGCGTTGGTGCGATTCTGTTATGCTGTTCTCACCGATGCCCCCCCCCCTCTCTCCATACTGCAGATTGAGCGAGGAGGCAGCGTTGTCACGATGGCGTCGGCATCGGCGATTGACCCACGCATGAACTTTGGCGCGTGGCTCACAGCTCACGGCATGAGCGCCAAAATTGCGCGCGCCATGAGCAAAGAGCTGGGTATCAGCGACTACAACACGCTACTGGCTTGCGCCGAGCACCCCCACGTGCGCATTGAGCTGTTCGCCGTGGCCAAGGCGCGCCTCCCGTTTGCGTTCTACGCCGTGCTTCGCCGCGTCATCGAGGGCGTCTCCATCAAGCGCCCCAAGGGCGGCGACGCCGGCGCCGAGGGCACCAGTCGCTCGCTCCTGGAGACCATCGTGGTGGTGTTAAACAGCCTCAGCCAGGAGCTCTTTCAGTCGGCGCAGCGATTCTGCTCGCTCGACCCCGCGCTCTATGCCAACGCACTTGCCGCAGCCTCGGCCGACGGCCCCGCTGGAGAGAGCAGCCCCTGTCAGCGGCATCAGCACGCGGACACGGGTAACGCGGCGCCAGGGAGCACAGCGTCAACACCGTTCGCCCACACAGCACCAGCGTCTCAAAGTAACATCTCGCACAGCACCAGCAACTCACACAATGCTGGCTTCTCACGTCACGGTGCCCGTGCAATATCCAGTGCAGCTCTACCACTTGAGCGTCCATGTGGAGCATCTCGCTCACACAAGGAGCAAACAAATTGGAGACCGTAGCGATGTGTGTAGGCAGTGATGTGCCCTGTGACCTCATGTTTTACAAGTAGACTGCCTGTAATGTGTACATCTGTATATGACGAGAACACCTATGGCAACAGAAATATTATTGCAGGCTGGAAACAAAGGATGGCTGGATGGTGCAGTGCTAACACTTGCACCTCACAACAGGAAGGACCTCGGTTCCTAACTCGGGCACCTTTCTGTGCGGAGTTGGTATGCTCTCTCCCTGTGCTGCACTGGTGCCAGGTTCTCTAGTTTCCTCCCATAGCTAAAAAAAACATCGTGTAACTGGTATTGGACAAGCATCCTAACCTGCAAATGACTGTCTTGAGATTACACACTTGGCAGGGACTCTCCTGAGAAAAATAGACTCTGTGGGACTCAGTGAGTCTTTCCTGGGTAAACAAACGTTTATAGAATTAACAAAGCACAAAGGTGTGCAGCATTGCATGTACAAAAGCCCTCAGCCATATTTGAACCACCAGCTGAAAGAACTAAATGCATGGCCATTTTTTCATTGAGACCACCAACTCAAAGAGTTGAGAAAAGGTGGCCATTTCAACAGACAGCAGTGAAACAGACACGGCTGTACCCTGGTATCAGTACAGTTCAGTCGTCAATGTTTACTGCTACCATGTGTCTCTTGGCCAATACGATGTAGAGAGGACTACTTCTTTCAGCAGATTTTCATGTATTGTACACGTTTATTCCTGCGTGTGAATGTTCCGCGTTATACATTTATACACGTGTATGTATCCCCCCACCACCATCGTGTGTGTGTAGGTGCTCGCACGGAGGAGTCTGGGCGCGATTCCCTTCCACTGGACGGGAACCACTTCTCGGCGGAGACCCCGGGGGTGGCGCCGCATTTCTCAGAGAACCGGCACCTGGAGAAACGTGAGGGCCACGGAGCCGCGGAGGGCGGAGTGGAGTCGGGGGGCGTGTACGGGCAGCCCGGCGGTGCGCAGGCCGGCGCGCAATCCTCTTGCGACAAGGAGTTTGGCACGTCGCCCGGCGGGGGCGGCAGTGCCCACCTGTTGGCGTCGGTGCGCGCGGCGGCGGCCGGGGCCTCGGTGAAGCCGTACCGGCCTGTGCAGTGCCAGGAGTGCGGCCAGGGCTTCGCACACAAGTCGCACCTGCTGATCCACCAGAGAACGCACACAGGCGAGAAGCCGTACGGCTGCGAGGAGTGCGGCAAGACGTTCGCGCACTCCTACAACCTGGCGCGCCACCGCCGCACGCACACGGGCGAAAAGCCCTTCAAGTGCGACGTGTGCGGCCGCGGATTCACGCAGTCGGGCCACCTCTCGAAGCACAAGCGCAAGCATGTGGACAAGCAGGTGGGCGAGGTGTACGCGGGCATCGGCTTCTCCCACCTCAGCAGCCTCATCCAGCACAACGCGCCGCACACCAGCTCGCTGCCATATTACCGCTAGCTCTCCGCGTGCATCTTACCTGAACAGGAGGGGCAGGTGCATGCGAGCTCACGGATTCTGGCTTATGGACGCCTCTTTGGCAGCCGACGTCGCCGCTGGACGCTCGTGGGGTCCACGCTGTGCGCGCTTCGTTCCGAACGGGCGTCGGGGGGGATGTGCTGGGCGTGCGGAAGGGACCTGCTGCGTGTGGGCGTCGGGGATTGCCAACGTCAGGTTGTGTTTTGGACTCGCGCGGTGATGGGTATTGACGTTGGGACCTGTGCTCGCGTGCCCTGGTCGCCCAGGCTTCCCCTCACCGAGCACCCAGCCCGGAGACCACCCTGGCTCCAGGATCCCCGAACAGGTGATCGGGACCGATGAGGGGCAGCTCTTAATCCGAGACGTTCACGCCAAGACCTTACCAAAGTGAACCCAATGCTGCTGTATATACCACACCCCATTACTTACGTAGCCGATAAAAAAAGTACTGTCTATAACGTACATATATATTTACGCCTTCCGATGGAGGTCTAGTGTGTTTTATAGTTAAGCATAAGTTGCTGTAGCTGCAAGGTGTTGAGTGTGCTGTGAGCTCGTGGCTGTGTGTGGGCCAGTGAGAGATGTGTATTACATGTAAAGATAATACACAAAATGGGCGAGGGGGATGATTACAACCGTAAAGAAATTGAGGAAATGGTGTTGGAACCCAGCCGGTGTCATTTTGCATTGTAACCGACTTCACGGACTGGTGTTGGACCTCTTTAACCACTTCTAGTGGCTGGCACTTGTATTGTTTTGGCACCATCGTTGCGGGTTTGGCGAGTGTCCTGCGAGTGATGATTTTTCCCAAGGTGCGGCACATGGAGGGACGCCTGCGTCGCGTGTCGCTGCTCGAGACACAGAAATGACCTCGGATGTCTCTTCGAGGTGCGACGGAGCCTGGCTCTCCGGAGCCTTATTCCTACAGCAGGCCTGCGACTCCCTCTCGATCCAGCCACTTCGCATTTACTAAAAGCGCTTCCAGAATGCAACGTGAAGCACTTTGTTGATGTCACTCAGGCTCTCATGCACAGACTGCCTGAGCTGGTGAGTGTGGAGAGCCGGACGGCCTGGCTTCCTGTTCGGAGTCGACCGTGCAGAAACTCTTGGTCAGCTTTGTGGGGACGAGTGGTCCGTGTGTAGAGCAGCCAGGCGTGTATTCACGTACATTGTCACTCCCGACGCTTGCCTGTTTCCCTTCAAACACTGCTGCTGCTTTCCCCGTGGGTGCCTGGGGTGCGTGTACCCTGCGATGGTGGCATGGCAGCGTTTTTTGGCGAATCAAGAATGGCTGCCGTTGAGTTCCTATCCCTCAAAGCGTTCCAGACACATCAATCAGTGTTAGTGATGAGCTCCTGTAAAACTGCGTTGTTTCATGTTCTCGGGTTTTCAGCACCGTGCATAAGTGGGAAAGACAGCTGCGGGTCACAGCAGTTATCCTGGGTGCATTCCCTCTCCCAGCGCGATGGAATTGCAGCTGCGGTGACGCATGAGTATCTGTGGACCCTCGCCAGACAAACGCTCACCTTGAGCTGAACTCTGGGAAGAAACCCTATTTCTGTAGGGTGCAGTCGAGGCAGGTTCATTGTGCCTCCTGTCCGATTTCTGAGAGCCGTTATGCCGCGACTGTGGTCACTCCAGTTGTGGAGCACTCGCTGCGCTGGAGGGGCGGACAGGCTCTCGTGAGAGGCAGATGCTCCTACCGATACTGGATTGCAGTATAAGCAAGTTGTGCCGCCAACTATGCTCACACCGAGGCATTGGTCTTCATCACACATGAAGACCAATGCACGTAAGAAAGTTCAGCCATTGGCCACTATCATTGTGCCACCCTGCAGGCCATGATGATTATTTCAGTGAGTAATATGGTTCACAGCAGAAGAATGGAATGTGCATGCCCAGATGGGAGCCCCCCACAATGGGCCAAGTGGAGAGCCGGAGTAAGGCTTGCAAGACCTCGAGGGAGGGGATTGTGGTTCTGCCCTCGGCTCTGCACAGGAGTGGGCACAGCTGAGCGTATGACTTGAAGGCACTGCCCACTAGCTGCACCACACGCTGCATCAGATATGCTGAGCTGGGAGTGAAGAGCCCCACTGGAGTAGAATAATATTCAGTATTCAATTGTTTTTTTAAATTCCACCAACTGTTCGTCACTTCAGCTTAACCACATTACCTCGTATGGGTATAGCACCCCCCTTGGGTCGTTATTTATAAACCCCATACGGGCACCTTCATTTTTTTGTTAATAGATTTTAGGAATGCATACTGGTTGCATGAACCTTTCTAACCTTAATTTGAATTTCATCTCTTGCGTTGCAACTTTTAAGCACGAGGCTGCCACCACCGCGTGTAAGGGCACTGCAGCTGGTGCTGCGCCACCACCATTGGGGGTTTTATGTGAGGATGGAGGGCGGCCTGCACACCATGGCGCGTTCCCCTCCAGCGCCCTGTGCGTGCGTTGAGGGAGCACCTGATGGGAGGCTGAATTCCATCACTATAGAGGCTAATCCAGTGCAAGTTCTGTGACATCAGCTTATAATGATGTTTGCACAGACAACAGTATAATTTTGTTTTATGTAGCTTATTAAAGGTGTATTATGATGTATTATACAATTTGGTTTTTCAGTATAATGCGAAGAGACAGATATTAAGATGCGGTGACATGTATGGTTTTGAGTAACGACTGTGCCCGGGCACCTCTCGACACGACGTGAGTTGTACCAGGCTTGCTCTGCTGTGCATGATGGTGCTGTTTGGTGTCTGTGATGTGTCCAGATGCCGGCAGCACAGTTTGGTTTCTTGCGATATTAAATTACAAAAGGAGAGAGGCGTCTCGCTGGATGTGTGGTGATCACAATAACTAATGTAGGGCTTTTTAAATTAGGTAAACGGATGTCAAGTCAGCAGGACATGTCACCCTGACATGTACTGGGACCATGAGCTGGAATTCACCAGGCTGTCTGCCCACCGGATCGTATCGCTGCTTACACTTTGGCACCTCCAGAACGCAGAGCCTGCACACTGCTGCTCGCCCCTGCACAATGGGGTGCACGCATGCCTCGCAATTCAAGTCAATTATAAAAACAAACTGATGAGGGTGTTTTAGTGAGTGAGTAAAGATGCTTCTATTTATCCAGTGTCGGTGCTATGTAAGTAAAACATGTTGTAGGTTTTCGTTTGATGCCTTACGATTTTAAACAAATATATGGTGGCATCGTTCCACACGAGAAGAGCAGCAGACTTGTGTCTTCTGATGTAAATTCAAAGCTACTGCATGGAAACATGAATTGTGGCAATATTGCAAAATGAAATTGCCGCGATAACATTGAGGTTTTGGTCGGCAGCCATGTCGCATTTAAGCACCTGCCATTGTACATTTAAGTGTGGGAACAATTCTTTGGGTATCCCCATGGCTGTATTCTTTGGTTCTTTCGGTAAAGTCACGCAGATAGAAAAATAATAAAGTGAATACAAAAAACCACGACGACGTTTCGATCGCAACACAAGCGGTCGACCGCTTGTGTTGCGATCGAAACGTAGTTTTTTGTTTTCTTTGAACCTATCTACGTGTCTACCGAAAGCACCAACGAATATGAATTCCTGCAGTCACGAAAGTTAAGTCTAAATGTATCCCCATGGCTAGTTTAACATTTTCAAAGGTGTCTCCACTGGTTACCAAAAGTGTTTAGAGAAGGCTGTAAAGCGAAGAGTATTTGTGTTTGCCATGAATGATCAGATTCCGACATCATTCCCACGAAGGCAACGCATTTGTTATCAAATTGATGACATTTCAGTTTCGCCATGGGTCATAGTTGCGTGATGGATGGAGCACTTCATGTAAATGTTTAGGATGCTGCGACTCCACATCAGATCTACGTTATTACATGTTTGGGGCATGCAGCAGGTTCAGGTGCCAGCAAACTTGAGTCTCCAGTTATTAAGTTGCGACTTGGGGCTGAAATGCGTTGTGAGCGCCGTGGGTTGAGGGATGGAGTTGGAGTGGAGCCCCTTGGCAATGAACACGCGGGGGGGACCCTGAGGGTGGCCACAGGGATTCGTGCCTCAGCACGAAGCACATGGGTCTGCGCGTTTCCTCCCTTGTTCTCACATAAACAACAACAACCAGTCATTGGTCTTCGCCAAATGTTTAATGTAGCCGAGACCCTCTCGGGGAACCCGTGGAGAGACCCGCCGAGGCTTTCCTGGTAAGTCAACAGCCGTGCTTTGGATCATTCGGGACGCAGCCCTAATAAGCTAGCCCCTCGTGATTTATGAAATAAGCTTTCAAACACCGTCGTAAAGACGCACTTGTACAGGTCGATTACAATAAGCTGGCCACGGGCATGAAGCTCAATAGCTGTAGACGCGGGTGCAAGTCGCGCCGGGAGCACGAGAATGGAAGTTTAACGCGGGACGAGCGGGATATCGGTGCTCCTTCTGAACATTGAATATCCATTGGGATTTAAAACAAACGCCGACCATTAACAAAGGACGAGCATTGCCACCGAAGCCGTTCAGAACACCAACAACAACAAGGCACCTCACGGAACTAACCCTCTGTACGCCGACACGTCCATCGGTGCTCGAGGCACTCCGAAGTTTGCTTTCCCTCTGCCGTGTTTTTGTTTGAGGAACCTTCGGTGGCCTTCAGGGGGTCCCATTCGTGCGGTGAATGCCGCGACTTGAGACGTGGACGGACGGGAACAGCCTCTCGTCGGCGACCACCGCGACCAGCTGCGCGCCGCTGAACTTAACAAGATGGCGGGAGCGGAGACTTCCGCGCGCTGGGCCCCGGGTTGGTGACGTCACGCGTCGGCGATGACGTCACGCGTAGATGACGTCACACCCGCGCTGTCGCCGGTTCGGGCGGGGAGGCGGCGATGACGTCATCGCGCGATAGCGCGGGCAGGAAGCGGAGCGCTGACAGCGCGGACACCCCGAGGAGCAGCAGGAGCAGCAGCAGGAGCAGCAGCAGGAGGAGCAGCAGGAGGAGCAGCAGCAGGAGCAGCAGCAGGAGCAGGAGGAGGAGCAGGAGGAGGAGCAGCAGCAGGAGCAGGAGGAGGAGCAGCAGCAGGAGGAGCAGCGGGGAGAGATGCTGCCCGTTACCGTGAACATCAAGCTGCCCGCGCGCTCGCTGCCCGGGGCGCTGCACGCCAACAACCGCCTCGCCGCGGACTGGTGAGTGAGTGGGTGGGCGAGTGGGTGAGTGAGTGAGTGGGCGAGTGGGTGAGTGAGTGAGTGGGCGAGTGAGCGGGCGAGCGAGCGGGTGAGTGTGTGGGTGAGTGAGTGAGTGGGTGAGCGGGCGAGCGGGCGAGCGAGTGAGCGGGCGAGCGAGTGTGCGGGCGAGCGAGTGAGTGGGTGAGCGAGTGAGCGAGTGAGTGAGCGAGTGAGTGAGCGGGTGAGCGAGTGAGTGAGCGGGTGAGCGAGTGAGCGAGTGAGCGGGTGAGTGAGTGGGCCAGTGAGCGGGTGAGTGTGTGTGCGGGTGAGTGAGCGGGTGAGCGGGTGAGCGTGTGGGTGAGTGGGCGAGCGGGTGAGCGAGTGAGCGGGTGAGTGTGCGGGTGAGTGAGCGGGTGAGTGAGTGAGTGAGCGGGTGAGTGAGTGAGCGGGTGAGTGAGTGAGTGAGCGGGTGAGCGGGTGAGCGAGCGAGTGGGTGAGTGAGGAGTGAGCGAGTGAGCGGGTGAGCGAGTGAGTGAGCGAGTGAGCGGGTGAGTGTGTGTGGGTGAGTGAGTGAGCGGGTGAGTGAGTGGGTGAGTGGGTGAGCGGGTGAGCGGGTGAGCGAGCGAGTGGGTGAGCGAGCGAGCGGGTGAGCGAGTGAGCGGGCGAGTGAGTGAGCGAGTGAGCGGGTGAGTGAGTGAGTGTGTGAGTGAGTGGGCGAGTGAGTGGGCGAGTGAGCGGGTGAGCGAGTGAGTGGGCGGGCGAGCGAGTGAGCGAGTGAGCGGGTGAGCGAGTGAGTGGGTGAGTGAGTGAGTGAGTGAGTGACTGAGTGAGTGGGTGAGTGAGTGGGTGAGTGAGTGAGTGAGTGGGTGAGTGAGTGAGTGAGCGAGTGAGTGAGCGGGTGAGTGAGCGGGTGAGTGAGCGGGTGAGTGAGTGAGCGGGTGAGTGGGTGGGTGGGTGAGTGAGTGAGTGAGTGAGCGGGTGAGTGTGTGTGTGGGTGAGTGAGTGAGTGAGCGGGTGAGTGTGTGTGTGAGTGAGTGAGCGGGTGAGTGAGCGGGTGAGTGTGTGTGTGGGTGAGTGAGTGAGTGGGTGAGTGGGTGAGCGAGTGTGTGTGTGGGTGAGTGTGTGGGTGAGTGAGTGAGCGGGTGAGTGAGCGGGTGAGTGTGTGTGTGGGTGAGTGAGTGAGTGGGTGAGTGGGTGAGTGTGTGTGTGGGTGAGTGTGTGGGTGAGTGAGTGAGCGGGTGAGTGAGCGGGTGAGTGTGTGTGTGGGTGAGTGAGTGAGTGGGTGAGTGGGTGAGTGTGTGTGTGGGTGAGTGTGTGGGTGAGTGAGTGAGCGGGTGAGTGAGCGGGGTGAGTGTGTGTGTGGGTGAGTGAGTGAGTGGGTGAGTGGGTGAGTGTGTGGGTGAGTGAGTGAGTGGGTGAGTGAGTGAGCGTGGCGAGGCGGGCGGCCTTCGTTCTCCTGCACGGAGCGGCGCCGTCGACGTCGTCGCTTCTTTTTCGCTTTAACTCGTGACGTCACGCCGCCTTGGCGACGTCACAATCGTTTGCGCCACGCGGTGACACGTCGAACAATATCGAACGAGTTTGGTGACACTGCGTGGGGTAGTGATGCACAAGCTCCTAGGTCGACTGAGCCTCAAATGAGTAGCTGGTGCGGTGTGTACACATCGTCACTGGGGGAGACCGGGCGTGGTGTTGGCCGCCCACCCCCTCGTGTGCCGTACCCATCTTCACAGGTGCTCGCAACAGCACGTGCCTCAAAATCATAGCGGGGGATTTTTGTCTTTGCACAAGCTCCAGTTTGACAGCAGAGGTCCCACTCCCAATCAGTCTGACGGCATCTTTTCTTCGTCTATGTAACGAACGCTGCTGTGTGGACGCTACCTGGTCTGTCGCTCCACGCGAAGCTTCGGGTCTTCTCACCCTCAGTTATGCTCTCTCCTTTTCTATGCTTGCGAAACGTGGACCCCTGTAAGCGAACATCTGCGCCAGTTAGAAACATTCAGGAATGCCTTCCTACGCTCCACCCAGGGTTTAACCAGGCTGGATTGGAAGATCTGGACACAGTCCCACCAATGAGATATTCTTTCAGTTAAGGCTGCGTCGGATAGAGGGAGCTCAACGGGCACGCACGGGCTAGAAAAGAAATGGGCTGATGTGGAGCTGAGTGGCCTTGCCAATGACTGCTACCGACGGTGTCAAGATCAGCCTCTGGAGGAGGCTCGTGAAGGACGCTACTGGGAAGTTGGAGGCGCTCGCCCTCCAACTGCAACGGAGGGCAGAGGAGCGACGCTCACAACAACGAGCGGAGCGCCGTGCGGCAAGTTGGCACAGTCGGGGGCACAGGTGGTGCATCTGCCAGTCATCTCAGTCAGTCGACCCGTGGAAAAATGGGTCTGTCGCATGACCTGCCAGCGAGCTTTCGACACTTCACGTGGCCTGTGGTGACGTCACCGCCACTTCCTGGAGAATGGCGGTTGTTGCACAATCTCAAATAATACAAACACATGTTCGTCAATAGTGCTTTCATTAACCTAATTGACCCGGTTACACTATGAAGAGGTTTCATTTCCCGAAACGTCACCTATTATATATTTTACATTCAGCATGAAGGGGGGGGGGGAGGGCACGTGGAGTGGGGGTAAGGATGAGAGGAGGTGGAGGGGGTTGGGGGAGATAAAGCAAGCAGCTCCCCATCATATTACAAGGTGGTGCAATCATAAACACATCTCAGCTTTTGCCCGGGCTGACCAGCAAGAGTTTAAAGCTTCATTATTGAGAAATAATTATAGCCGGTCTATAACAGTGACGTCACGAGCACACTACTGAAAGACATCTGAGTCATAAAGTGTCAAGCTCGTGTCGAAGAGTGCACACCACGGGTGAGGTGAAGGTCTCCGTTGGGAGTTGGGGTGATTATTAATACCCCATGGACACGTGGGAGCGGGGAGGTAAGAGTAAGCACGCAGACGGAGCTCCACGTTGATGCAAATGTCTCATGAATGGCCATGAAGTCGGGGGGGGGGCTCTTTCCTCTGCCCTGCGGTGCGACACACGTCACCATCTGCCACTGCAGCCCGGGCAAGTCATGCTCAGTGTTGGCCACTTAAGACACCTCCAGTGGCCATCGGCGAAATGTGGAGAAATCCTGGCTGCCTTCACTGAGTCCAGTGATAGGACAAACTGGTTAGCAATGAAATAACATGACAATAATGACAGTAATGACAGTGTTGATGTTCGTGTTAATTTGAGTGATGTTGATGATGGCGGCGCTCATGAGGATAGGATAGGGATTTCCATGAATTGATCGCTTTAATGCCACGGCATCTCAAAGCGAATTACATATACACAGGAAATCCACAACAACACATCAGGGCCACAATTGGGAAAAGTCAGTGGGGAAGAAAAAGAGAAGAGACATCAAGGATCAATAGCAGAGGGGCACGACTGACGCAGGGACACACAGCAACCCGCGCATGCACAGGAGGGCAACAGACGGCCACCTCGGGGGACAAACGACGGCCAGATCAGGTCAACCATTCCAACACTTACCACCACCACGCACTGCCATTATCTCAACACCCCACTCAACCAACCACATCAAAGTCAACTACCAACACCAACTAAAATGCATGCAACCACCAGCACGCACTGACACCATCTCGACACCCCATTCAACTGACAAGCACCACCATCCATAGCCCACCAACTAAATCACTACACCAACCAAACGGTTCCTAAAGCAGCAGTGCTGTGGTGACTAGGCCCTTCACTGCTTCACTGTGTCGTGGCAGGGCCCCAGTGTGTAGTATCGGCAAGGCCCCGAGAGGGAGCCGAGGGCACCTGGTCAGGAAAAGGCTGGGAGGTGAGCAAGCGGAGTAGCTAATGCAGGGACTAAATATAGACAAGAGTTACACAATAAACAACAATAAATCAACAAGAAATAAAACAAAATGCATTCAATGTGCATTTGTTCTCGGAAGTATTTAGCGATAATAACGGTAGTTCTCACGCCGGGCACACTTGAAGCAGTCCATCCCTAGGTTGTACAGGATCGAGATGAGGGTGTGTGTGTTGATCTTTCCCCCTCTGAGTTCCTGATGTGCGGCCACTCGCCGGAGCGGACGCAGATTCCGGCCCCAGTGGAGCGTGACCTGAGTGGTGCTCGTTGGCGTGTGTAGGGGATGGCAGGGCTTGCTGGCATATGGATGCCATTCGCTGGTCATGGTGGTGGATCCTCGCACGGCCCAGACAATCCAGGCTCTGGACAAACACAAGGCAACAGTCGTCAAGGTAACTCCTACCACGGAGCTCACACTCGCAGAAACAAACCCAGCCCCAATCCGAACCCACAGCCTGCCCCCGTCGCCCCGAGTGGTGCTGTGCGTGGATGGCACTGTGGACGCGTGGCGGGTGCTGTGTGTGTGTGTGCACTGTGTACGTGTGACACTGTGTACGTGTGGCGGGTGCTGTGTGTGTGGCACTGTGTACGTGTGACACTGTGTACGTGTGGCGCTGCGAACGTGTAGTGCAGTGTACATGGGTCGCTGTGTACGTGTGGCGCTGTGAGTGGCTGGCGCTGTGCCCACTGCAGGTGAAATGGGCTCGGGAGAACTACCACCACGATGCGTGCGCCCCCTACTCCGCCCGCTTGGCCTCGGGGGACGCTAGCGGCAAAATCGTGGTGTGGGACGTGGCCGCGGGCGGAGCGCGCTGCGAGATCCAGGAGTACACGAAGCCTGTGCAGGGTATGCATACGCAGACAGATATCTCCCATATATCTTTGAATAGACTGTTGGGGTAAGTGCTGTTCGCGAGCACCTATGAAAGCACCAAGTACTAGGAGAGGCCCGGGACCAGTTTAAATAATCGTCACTGGTTTTGACCGTGAGCGAGAATCGAACTCGGGTCACCGGGTTCGTAGCGCAGTGGGCTAATATCTGCACTGCCACACATACAGGCACGCACGCACGCGCACACGGAGAGATCTTCTATTTACCTTTGTAAACTCAGGGGAAAGTGCTGTGAGCAAGCACCTGTAAAGAATGGTGAGGCGAACATGAGAACGATGTGGTGCACACCACACCTGGCCGGCTCTGCCGTTCCTATGCTTGCGTGCTAATGCCACACCAAGTCCTCGGTTTAGGCTGGGTAGGCCAAGGCTAAACCAACGCGGACATCGTTTGACATTAGATGCCACCTGCCACTGCTTCCAGTCAAATCTGAGTAGCTGGAATTGCACTGCACCAAACACAAGCTCACCTCTCCACCGCTCTGCACTACACACACGCGCTTGCGTCTTGTAGAGAGTGATGTGGTGTTGATTCATGGACCACCATACAGTTCCAGTGGCATGGATTCCATTCCTGACCATGCACATCTGTGGTATCTGAACCTATCCTGAGCATGACTTGGTTGACTCGGCATTAAATGAGTATGCATGTATGTTGAACTTCTTTCGCACTGTTCGTCGCCAACCGTGCTAATCAGAGGTGCGGGGGAAGCACAACAAACTATACACAAAAAGCAGTTCTAAAGAAATTAGTAACTAGTGTGGCGTGCGAACGCTTTCTTTGGGAAGATAATGGTGGCTGGACATTGTTCTGGCTATACCGCTGGGCTGCCCATCTTTTAAAAGATGCTCACCAAACAACATTTTCCTCTTCAGCAGTGGTTCCCAACCTTCCTGCTGTACCCGCAGACCTTCTGTCAACTTTGAAAAAATATTCGTGGACCTCCACCATGCACCGATAACATAACTCCCGTCGTTTTGAGAAAAACATCAAAGTGTCTACAGCAGTTTCGTAGAAAACTTCTCACGGCCAGTGGTCCACGGACCGTGGGCTGAGAACTGTCGCTGTACGGCCTGCGAGGCCGAACAGGAATCGCCTTGTCGTTTGTGAACTCTCACACGGTCGGGTGGCGGTGCCGCGGGGCCCTCCCTGCAGACATGGAGTGGCTGTGGAGCCAGGACGCCAGCCTGGACCTGCTTCTCGCCGTGCATCCCCCGAACTTGCTGGTGCTGTGGAACGCAGACACGGGCACCAAGCTGTGGAAGAAGAGCTACGCGGAGAACATCATCTCCTTCTCCTGCGACCCCTTTGATCCCTCCAGCCTCGCCCGTCCGTGCCACCTGCTGCTCCCACATGCATTCCCGTTCTCAGATACCCACTTTATCAGTAGCTCACCCAGCTCTCAGAAACTCACCAAGCTCTCAGAAACTCACCAAGCTCTCAGAAACTCACCAAGCTCTCAGAAACTCACCAAGCTCTCAGAAACTCACCAAGCTCTCAGAAACTCACCCAGCTCTCAGAAACTCACCCAGCTCTCAGAAACTCACCCAGCTCTCAGAAACTCACCCAGCTCTCAGAAACTCACCCAGCTCTCAGAAACTCACCCAGCTCTCAGAAACTCACCCAGCTCTCAGAAACTCACCAAGCTCTCAGAAACTCACCAAGCTCTCAGAAACTCACCCAGCTCTCAGAAACTCACCAAGCTCTCAGAAACTCACCCAGCTCTCAGAAACTCACCCAGCTCTCAGAAACTCACCAGCTCTCAGAAACTCACCCAGCTCTCAGAAACTCACCCAGCTCTCAGAAACTCACCCAGCTCTCAGAAACTCCCCCAAGCTCTCAGAAACTCACCAAGCTCTCAGAAACTCACCCAGCTCTCAGAAACTCACCAAGCTCTCAGAAACTCACCCAGCTCTCAGAAACTCACCCAGCTCTCAGAAACTCACCCAGCTCTCAGAAACTCACCAAGCTCTCAGAAACTCACCAAGCTCTCAGAAACTCACCCCAGCTCTCAGAAACTCACCCAGCTCTCAGAAACTCACCCAGCTCTCAGAAAACTCACCCAGCTCTCAGAAACTCACCCAGCTCTCAGAAACTCACCTCAGGAAACTCACCAAGCTCTCAGAAACTCACCCAGCTCTCAGAAACTCACCAAGCTCTCAGAAACTCACCAGCTCTCAGAAACTCACCCAGCTCTCAGAAACTCACCCAGCTCTCAGAAACTCACCAAGCTCTCAGAAACTCACCAAGCTCTCAGAAACTCACCCAGCTCTCAGAAACTCACCCAGCTCTCAGAAACTCACCCAGCTCTCAGAAACTCACCAGCTCTCAGAAACTCACCCAGCTCTCAGAAACTCACCCAGCTCTCAGAAACTCACCAAGCTCTCAGAAACTCACCAAGCTCTCAGAAACTCACCCAGCTCTCAGAAACTCACCAAGCTCTCAGAAACTCACCCAGCTCTCAGAAACTCACCCAGCTCTCAGAAACTCACCCAGCTCTCAGAAACTCACCCAGCTCTCAGAAACTCACCCAGCTCTCAGAAACTCACCCAGCTCTCAGAAACTCACCCAGCTCTCAGAAACTCACCCAGCTCTCAGAAACTCACCCAGCTCTCAGAAACTCACCCAGCTCTCAGAAACTCACCCAGCTCTCAGAAACTCACCCAGCTCTCAGAAACTCACCCAGCTCTCAGAAACTCACCCAGCTCTCAGAAACTCACCCAGCTCTCAGAAACTCACCCAGCTCTCAGAAACTCACCCAGCTCTCAGAAACTCACCCAGCTCTCAGAAACTCACCCAGCTCTCAGAAACTCACCCAGCTCTCAGAAACTCACCCAGCTCTCAGAAACTCACCAAGCTCTCAGAAACTCACCCAGCTCTCAGAAACTCACCCAGCTCTCAGAAACTCACCAAGCTCTCAGAAACTCACCCAGCTCTCAGAAACTCACCCAGCTCTCAGAAACTCACCAAGCTCTCAGAAACTCACCCAGCTCTCAGAAACTCACCCAGCTCTCAGAAACTCACCAAGCTCTCAGAAACTTACCAAGCTCTCAGAAACTCACCCAGCTCTCAGAAACTCACCCAGCTCTCAGAAACTTACCAAGCTCTCAGAAACTCACCCAGCTCTCAGAAACTTACCAAGCTCTCAGAAACTCACCAAGCTCTCAGAAACTCACCAAGCTCTCAGAAACTCACCCAGCTCTCAGAAACTTACCAAGCTCTCAGAAACTCACCAAGCTCTCAGAAACTCACCAAGCTCTCAGAAACTCACCCAGCTCTCAGAAACTCACCAAGCTCTCAGAAACTTACCAAGCTCTCAGAAACTCACCCAGCTCTCAGAAACTCACCCAGCTCTCAGAAACTTACCAAGCTCTCAGAAACTCACCCAGCTCTCAGAAACTTACCAAGCTCTCAGAAACTCACCAAGCTCTCAGAAACTCACCAAGCTCTCAGAAACTCACCCAGCTCTCAGAAACTTACCAAGCTCTCAGAAACTCACCAAGCTCTCAGAAACTCACCAAGCTCTCAGAAACTCACCCAGCTCTCAGAAACTCACCCAGCTCTCAGAAACTCACCCAGCTCTCAGAAACTCACCCAGCTCTCAGAAACTCACCAAGCTCTCAGAAACTCACCCAGCTCTCAAAAACCCAACCACTATTATGAACTCACCCATTCTTTTACAAAACTGACTCTCAGAAACTGATACATTCTCTCAGCAGCTGTGTGTGTGTTTGCAGTTTTAACGAGTGAGGGCACGGTGTGTGTGTGTGTGTGTGCAGTGTTCACGAGCGAGGGCACGGTGTGTGTGTAGTGTTGATGAGCGGTAGTGTAACAACGCGCTGCGCTAAGAAGCTGGCGACCCGGGTTCGATTCCCGCTCACGGCCAACACCAGTGACGATTATCTGAACCGGTTCTGGGCCTCCACTAGGTCGACTCAGCCTCAAATGAGTACCTGGTGTTTTGTGTAAACATTGCCACTAGGGAGACGAAGGCGGCCGGGCTTGGTTTTGGCCACCCAACCCCTCGTGTGCTGTGCCAGCCTTCATATGTGCTCACTAACAGCACTTGCCCCAACAGTCTGTTAGAGGCTATACGGGGGATCTTTGTCTTTGACGAGCAAGGGCACGGTGTGTGTATGTGCGGTGTTGACGAGCGAGGGCACTGTGTGTGCAGTGTTGACGAGCGAGGGCACTGTGTGTGTGCGGTGTTGACTAGCGAGGGCACGGTGTGTGTATGTGCGGTGTTGACGAGCGAGGGCACGGTGTGTGTGTATGTGCGGTGTTGACGAGCGAGGGCACGGTGTGTGTGTGTGCGGTGTTGACGAGCGAGGGCACGGTGTGTGTGTATGTGCGGTGTTGACGAGCGAGGGCACTGTGTGTGTGCAGTGCTGACGAGCGAGGGCACGGTGTGTGTGTGTGCGGTGTTGACGAGCGAGGGCACTGTGTGTGTGCGGTGTTGACGAGCGAGGGCACGGTGTGTGTGTGTGCGGTGTTGACGAGCGAGGGCACGGTGTGTGTGTGTGCGGTGTTGACGAGCGAGGGCACGGTGTGTGTATGTGCGGTGTTGACGAGCGAGGGCACTGTGTGTGTGCAGTGCTGACGAGCGAGGGCACTGTGTGTGTGCAGTGCTGACGAGCGAGGGCATGGTGTTCGTGCACGACTTCTCCCCATCGAGGCCGCCACCGAGCGCAGGCAGGAAGGTTTACATCTCCAGCCCCAGCTCAAGCACCGCCGGTGTTGCCGCGGCAGCGGGACGCGCTCCCACGGGCGCCCGGCGAGCGCTCAACCGTGTCAAGACGCTGATCACCGACGAGAAGCCGAGGTGTGAGCGGCCCCTAATATACAGGAGGTCGTGGGTTCGATCCCGACCCTGACGCCTGTATATTTGGAGTTTGCATGTTCTCTCTGCCCGTGTCATGTGGACTTTTCTCTGAGTCCTCCGGTTTTCCCCTCCACATTCAGAAACATGCATTCAGAGTATTTGGCTGCAATGCATGTTGACGTGATAAGCCACTTCGTTTGTGGCCAGGTCACTTTTGAAAAAGAGCTTTTTCGATCAATGGGCCTTACCTGGTAATTATTTTTTAGTTTTAATCATAATATAAAAAAATGTATTCTTCATTCCTATCGTGGATGAACCTAGACTCAAACCTCTCCTGTGTGAATTTAACACGCGAGTACTTTCGCAAACAATGTTGTTATTCGTAATAGATTTTTGGGTCAGATCGCGCACGTGAAATGCTTGCCGTAAACCCTCCTCCACCCGTCACAGCCAGTTAATAAAGTTGTGACGTCATCAAACGTCCCAACTCATTACTGCTTCGGCAGCACCACCGATGTGGTTGTTGGAGAGCGATCCACACACAACATTTAACAACCGGGTAGTCTAACGTTTTGCTGATAGTCACAACCAGCATTATCAGGCAGTTGCTCGAAAATTTGAAAATCTCCTCCAGTCTTGGCCTTAGGTGGTGTGATGTCACCAATGTGCACCCACAAGGTGGCTCACTTCCCAACCTCATCATGGGACTACCCCTCCTGGTTGATGGCGACACGACCGAGTGCGTGAGAGTTCTGCTCCATCACAGCTGGAAGTTGGCCATATTTCTGAGAATACCAACTCGCCAAGCTTCAGAACCCCGGTTCAATCACAGGCAGCAGCTTCTATTTTAACCCAGGATCTTAGCGAAGCCAGCTTCAGCGCTGCTACCTCCCGAGTCATCTGACCTCTTCTGAAGTCAATAATTACACACCTGGGCCTTTTAGGTATTCAGCTCTGCTTCTGCACCCTCGCTCTCAGATTGTCCCGACACTCCCTATGACTTGTGTCATACACAAGTATCCACCTGGGACGATAGCCGATCCTGTGTTAGCAGTGTATTTGATGAACATCAAGAAACGTGGAATTAAAAATGCAAATCGATTAAAAGAGGGAACTGATTACATATATGCATTTTTCAAACACGGCAAGTGAATTTAGTGGAGCAGAAAGAGAAATGCAGACGCACCGAAGATGAAAACCAGTGCCAGAGATCTGAACATCGGGCGGTGTGAGAGAGTGAACACAGCTGTATATAAGCTGCGCAGACATTAAGTGCGCAAGCCTTCCACTCTTCACTTGTACTCAAAAGTGCATCGTGGTGACATCACTACTCCGCGGGGAATGATGGTCGTTGTAGTGTGGACGTGCCCCATATGTGTGTGCAGTGTGGAGCGGTAGTGTAGCGGTTAGCGCTACGCTGCGCTACGAACCCGGGTGACCCGGGTTCAAATCCCGCTCACGGCCAACACCAGTGACGATTATCTGAACTGGGCCTCCCCTAGGTTCACTCACCCTCAAATGAGTACCTGGTGCGGTGTGTAAACATCGCCACTGGGGAGACAAAGGCGGCCGGGCGTGGTGCCGGCCACCCACCCCCCTCGTGTGCCGCGCCGGCTTTATAGTGCGCGCTAACAGCACTTGCCCCAACTGTCTGATCAGGCTATTTGGGGGATCTTTGTCTTTGCAGTGTGGAGGGGGTGCTGCTCACAGAGTGCATCCAGATGTCGTACCTGCCCGCCCACCGCTCCCACATGCTGCTGCTGTACCCACGCGAGATCGTCATCCTCGACCTGGAGATCAGCCAGACAGTTGGCATCGTCGCCATCGAGCGCAGCGGCGTGCCCTTCCTGCAGGTGCCGTCTCGCGCGTGGGGGCCACTGCCGCCGTTTGTCGTTGACCTCGTTGACCTCATTGACCTCGTTGACCTCGTTGACCTCGCCCACCGCTGGCGGTGATATTGACGGTAGCGGTGGTCGTCCGACCGCCGCCGATGCCGGTCGCTGCGGTCGAGTTGGCATGAAGCGGGCGGCTCTAGTGCGGCTGTAAGAGCGAGCGGCTGTCGCCCTGTGGTGGGGGGCACCGTGAGCGCCGACCGTGGAGTGCAGCGCTGGGGTGGATGACGACGCTGATGATTCATGACAGCGGTGAATGATGATAATGAAAATAGATGAAGGTGATAGATCAAGAAGGAGGTTGATGAATTTTGATGCTATGGATGATGATGATGGATGAAGAAGGATAGATGTTCGTGTTGGGTGAATATATGGATGATCTAGAGATGTACATTACGAAGTTGCCAAGTATAGTCCACTGCTGCTTCTCCCATAGCTGAAAGGTTTCTGGTATTGTGCTGGGCCACTGCAAGGCGCCACACTGCTTCACTTCCACCTTTTCATCTCTTATGCAATATACAGGAAAGGGGAACCACGTGGTAACTTGTACATAATAGGATGACAACCACTTTTGTAGATAATAGGATGATACCACGGATGGCGAGATGTTAACTGCCTCGCCTGGTATATAGCAGGCCGTGGGTTTGATCCCGACCCTGATGATGCCTGCTGTATATTCAGAGTTTGCGTGTTCTCCCCGTGGTCATATGGATTTTTCTCCAGGTCCTCCGGTATTTCCCTCCACACTCAGAAACATGCGTTTAGAGTATTTGGCTGCAATACATTTCTACATGATAAGGCACTTTGTTGAGCGATAATTCGTGGCCAGGTCGCTTGTGAAAAAGAGCTGTACAGCTCAGTGGACCTTATCTGGTAAAATAAAAAAATAATGCAGTGTAGCCGCCACGGCATCCCGGTTGGCAGTGTTGGCGGTGTTGGTGGTGTCGCTTGTTACCCATGCCCCCTGCGGTGCGCGCGGTGCAGGTAATCCCGTGCCGCCAGCGCGATGCCCTCTTCTGTCTGCACGAGAACGGCTGCGCCACCCTGCGGGTGCGGCGCCCCAACCGCCCCAGCGTGCCCGTGCTGGCCCCCGCCGATGAGGCCGGTGCGTCTCTGCCGCCGCATCCAAAACCCCGCGCTCGCGCTCTCTCCCAGCGTGAGCCACACGCACGAGGGCACGGGTCGCGCGCGGAGTGGCGGCGCACCGAGGCTGCGTGTTTATTTCCCGCCTCTATACTCTTACGCTGGTGGTTCGTCGGGATCACCAGTCGGGTTTCCATTCATCTCCTAAATCGCGCCGTTTTGATATCTCAATCATCGTCGTCGTCGTCGTTGTTGTTGCGCTCGTTCACCCAGGAAAGCCTCGCCGAGTCTCAAGACTGTTGTTCAGGAGGATCCTGCCACATGTTTCAGAGTAGGGGGCGATGTCGCGACTCGGTGTGATCCACGTTGAGTAATGTGCAGGTATATTTTCAGCATTTGGGTGTTTAGCCGATACGAGTTGCACTGAAGTTTTCTTTTGGCTATGGTAGGATAACCAGTGAAGCCGGAGGAATTCCACGCAGAACAACAGCGGGAGAACGTACAAATTCCACACAGAAGAGATCGAACCCAGAACCCTTGCTGTGATGTGCAGGTGTTTCCACTGCGCCACCACCCTGCCACCCATTGCAGTATAGCGTTGCAGTGCAGTGTGATAGCAGCTGGGACATGCGCAATGAGTGAGATTGGCTAGTGGGGATGTGAGATTGGCTTGTGGCACCATGTATGTGTGTGTGTTTGGATGTTGTGTGTGTGTCACTGTATTGATGTCACTGTGTGTGTGTATTGTGTCGCTGTGTGTGTATTGTGTTGCTGTGTGTGTATGTTCTGTTACTGTGTGTGGGTGTTCTGTTTCTGTGTGGGTGTTGTGTTGCTGTGTGAGTGTGTGTGTTACGTCATTGTGTGTTGCATGTGGGGAGCGGTGGTGTAGCGGTTAGCGCGCTGCGCTTCAGACCCGAGTTAAATTCTCGCTCATGGCAAACACCGGTGGCAATTATCTGAACCGGTCATGGGCCTCCCCTAGGTCGACTCAGCCTCAAATGAGTACCTGGTGAGGTGTGTAAATATCGCCACTGGAGAGACAAAGACGGCCGGGCGTGGTGCTGGCCACCCATCCCCTCGTGTGCTGTGCTGGCCTTCATAGGTGCTCGCTAACGTCTCTGTGTGTGTATGGTGTACTGTGTGTGTCGCTGTGTGTGTTGCGTCACTGTGTGTGTGGTGTACTGTGTGTGTGTCGCTGCGCGTGTGCGCATCACTGTGTGTGTTGCATCGCTGTGTGTGTGTGTGTGTCGCTGTGTATGTGGTGTACTGTGTGTGTGTGTGTGTGCGCGTCACTGTGTGTGTTGCATCGCTGTGTGCGTGTGCGTCGCTGTGTGGGTGTGTGGTGTACTGTGCGCGTCGCTGTGTGTGTGTGTTGCGTCGCTGTGCATTGTCACTGTGTGCGTTGTATCACTGTGTGTGTTGTGTCACTGTGTGTGTTTCGTCACTATGTGTTTTGCATTGCTGTGTGCATAGAGGTGGACTGTGTGTCTGCGGACGTGGTGTACGAGCTGCGCTGTCAGTCGGACGCGGTGCGCGTCACCAAGACGGTGCGCCCCATGGCGCTGGGCTGCTGCCCCGTGGGGGAGAATGCGGCGGCCATGCTGGTGAGCGACGGACGCTTGCTCGTGTGGGAGCTGCACGCCACACGCGGGTACGTGGGGGCGAGGGTACGCTGGGTGATGGTACGTGGGGGCGAGGGTTCGCTGGGTGATGGTGCGTTGGGGCGAGGGTTCGCTGGGTGATGGTATGTGGGGGCGAGGGTACGCTCGGTGATGGTGCGTGGGGGCGAGGGCACGCTGGGTGATGGTACGTGGGGGCGAGGGTACGCTGCGTGATGGTGCGTGGGGGCGAGGGTTCGCTGGGTGATGGTATGTGGGGGCGAGGGTACGCTGGGTGATGGTGCGTGGGGGCGAGGGTACGCTGGGTGATGGTGCGTGGGGGCGAGGGTACGCTGGGTGATGGTGCGTGGGGGCGGGGGTTCGCTGGGTGATGGTGCGTGGGGGCGAGGGTACGCTGGGTGATGGTACGTGGGGTTAGGGTGTACGTGGGAGTCGGGGGATCCCCTCTCTCAAAGTGCAAATAGGCAATAAAGTCATCCAGTTGACACATTTTTATTGTTTTCAGTTGTTCGAACAGAAGGACCTATACAGCTTTGCGAATTCAAGTTTGTCAGATTGAACCTGGTTTGCTCGGTAACATTACCCTCTCATCGAGCGTCCCGTAAGCCTCTGTTCTGAACAATAGACCTGGGAGCTGTGGTCGTTTCTTGTAGCCTGACATTCTGAGGCTGTGCACGCTGTGGGGTGGCCAGGACATCGAGACACTTATTGCAGGAGCAGCTCCGCGAGTTTACCTCATTCTGGGGTAGCTGAGTGCGGGGTTAGTTATTTCTGTACTTATCTATCAATCTAGATTTGTACTGATCCTTGTGTTAGTGTACCTCTGTGCTCGTGTATCTATACTCGTGTTGGTGTGTTGGTGTATAGTTTAGCGCACTGTGCTACTCACACAGTAATCCAAGTTCGATTCCTGCTTACAGCCATGACCAGTGACGGTTATCTGAACCGGTTCTGGGCCTCCCCTAGATCGACTCGGTCTCAAATGAGTACCTGGTGCGGTGTGTAAACATCACCACGAGGGAGACAAAGGCGGCCAGGCGTGGTGTTGGCCACCCACCCCCTCATGTGCCGTGCCGGCCTTCATAGGTGCTCGCTAACAGCACTTGCCCTAACGGTGAGCTAAGGCTACACGGGGATCTTTGTCTTTGTGTGTGCTGGTGCAGCTGTGCTCAGGGTGGCTCCTCTCAGCTGCTGTCTCCGCTCTCCTTCTGCGGGGCACTTGCTGGGCCACGCACCCCCACGCTGCCGGACCTTTCCCTCGACAGCGCCTTTGGTACAGCAGCACACAGCAGCATAGCACACAGAAGAAGCACTCAGTGGCATAGCACACAGCACAAACCCCATTCGCCTCTTGCCTGTAGCTTTTTTGCAATCTTGGTGCTCGTAACATTTCGCATTGTCAGCTGCCTCCACGTGGAGTGCCGTCCGCGTGGCGTCGCGTTCTCTACAATGCAAGGAGACACGCGCAGTGCGAGCCGGTGAGCTGCTGCTGTGCAGCCTCCTCGCTGGAGGAGCACAGCTTCCGCGCTTGGTGTCTACACGCGGTTCTTGTGAAATGTTGAACTTCTTGGAAGCTGGAGAATCCTCCACGCTTTGCCCTCTAAAATGCAACTTGCGAAAATGAAGGCTTGAAAGCTGGGCGACAGTGACGCACGTGGCCTGTAATCCGGCACTGCGGAGGCAGCGAGGATTTGTGGACCGCACACATCTTGGGGATGGAGCGTTTCTTCCCTCACAATGTGTGAGGTGTCTCCAGGCACTCCGGTTTCCTCCCACATGTGCACACTCATTGATTGGCCGATAACACCTCAATATATAGAGGGCTGCAGCTCACCACACGGCTGCCCTCCTGCTTGTCTGGTTCCTCGCGCCTCTGAATCGATCTCTCTCTCTCCGCAAGTGAGCGAAGCCCTTTGACAAGTTGAAAGTATAATGATGTTAATGTTAGCACCGTGAGGTGCTCTTAGTTCAACCGATGTGTCGATCCTGCCTGCGAGAGTTAACATCTCTCCACTGTGGCGAGACGTTAACCACCTCGCCTGGTACACAGGAGGGTGTGGGTTCAATCCCGACCCTGACGCCTTTATATTTGGAGTTTGCGTGTCTCTCTCCTCGTGGTCTCGTGGATTTTTCTCCAATTCCTCTCTTTTCCCCTCCACATTGAGAAACAGCGTTTCGAGTATTTGGCTGCTATAAATTACCACATGACAAGCCACTTCTTTGAGCTATCGTTTGTGATAGCAGGGACACTTGTGAAAAAAAATGCTCTACAGCTGGTTAAAAAAAGAAGTTAGTAGTTTAGTCAACCGTCTCGTGTTGCCAAGCGCCGTGTGTGAGGCTGCCGCGCTGCGGCTTCATGTGCCGCTGCTGCAGGCCAGTGCCTGGTGTTTGCGGACGAGCACTCCGCAAGGCCGCCGGGTCCGCAGCAGGAAGTTTCCCTGCGCTTCCTGCTCACGGGGCTGCTCTCCGGCCTGCCGCCCCCGCCGTTTGTGCTGCGCATGTGCCCCCCACTCACCACCAAGAACCTGGAGCAGTACCAGCCCCTGCTGGCCGTCGGTATGGTGCACACACGGACATGTGTGTGTGCGTGTGTGTGTGTGCGTGTGTGTGTGCGTGTGTGCGTGTGTGTGTGCGTGTGTGCGTATGTGTGTGCGTGTGTGTGGTGTGTGTGTGTGCGCGTGTGTGCACGTGTGTGTGCGCGTGCTCGCACACGTGCACACCGCCCAAAGACAAAGATCCTCCGTGTAGCCTTTAACAGACTGTTTTGGGCAAGTGCTGTTAGCGAGCACCTATGAAGGCTGGCACAGCACACAAGGGGGTGGGTGGCCAGCACCACACCCGGCCTCCTTTGTTTCCCCAGTGCTGATCTTTACACAGCGCACAAGGTACTCATTCACAACTGAGGACCAGGACCGGTCCGGATATTTGTCACCGATGTTGGCCGTGGTGGTGTTGTGGTGGTGGTGTTGTGGTGGATGTGTGCTGTAGTGGTGGTGTTGTGGTGTATGTGTGCTGTGGTGGTGGTGTTGTGGTGGATGTGTGCTGTGGTGGTGGTGTTGTGGTGGATGTGTGCTGTAGTGGTGGTGTTGTGGTGTATGTGTGTTGTGGTGGTGGTGTTGTGGTGGATGTGTGCTGTAGTGGTGGTGTTGTGGTGTATGTGTGCTGTAGTGGTGGTGTTGTGGTGGATGTGTGCTGTAGTGGTGGTGTTGTGGTGTATGTGTGTTGTGGTGGTGGTGTTGTGGTGGATGTGTGCTGTAGTGGTGGTGTTGTGGTGTATGTGTGCTGTAGTGGTGAGGTGTTGTGGTGTATGTGTGCTGTGGTGGTGGTGTTGTGGTGGATGTGTGCTGTGGTGGTGGTGTTGTGGTGGATGTGTGCTGTAGTGGTGGTGTTGTGGTGGATGTGTGCTGTGGTGGTGGTGTTGTGGTGGATGTGTGGTGTAGTGGTGGTGTTGTGGTGGATGTGTGGTGTAGTGGTGGTGTTGTGGTGGATGTGTGCTGTAGTGGTGGTGTTGTGGTGGATGTGTGCTGTGGTGGTGGTGTTGTGGTGGATGTGTGCTGTGGTGGTGGTGTTGTGGTGGATGTGTGCTGTAGTGGTGGTGTTGTGGTGTATGTGTGCTGTGGTGGTGGTGTTGTGGTGGATGTGTGCTGTGGTGGTGGTGTTGTGGTGGATGTGTGCTGTAGTGGTGGTGTTGTGGTGGATGTGTGCTGTAGTGGTGGTGTTGTGGTGGCTGTGTGCTGTGGTGGTGTGTTGTGGTGGATGTTTGGGGTGTGTGGTGTTGTGGTGGATGTGTGTGGTGAGTGGTGGTTTGTGGTGGATGTGCTGTGGTGGTGTGTGTGGTGGATGTGTGCTGTGGTGGTGGTGTTGTGGTGGATGTGTGGTGTAGTGGTGGTGTTGTGTGGATGTGTGGTGTAGTGGTGGTGTTGTGGTGGATGTTGTGGGTGTGTGTGTTTGTGTGGATGGTGGTGTAGTGGTGGTGTTGTGGTGGATGTGTGGTGTAGTGGTGGTTGTGGTGTGTGTGTTGTGGGTGGTGGGGTGTTGTGGTGGATGTGTGTAGTGGTGGTGTTGTGGTGTATGTTGCTGTAGTGGTGGTGTTGTGGTGATGTGTGCTGTGGTGGTGGTGTTGGGGGTGTGCTGTGGTGGTGGTGTTGTGGTGGATGTGTGCTGTAGTGGTGGTGTTGTGGATGTGTGCTGTGGTGGTGGTGTTGTGTGTGTGGTGGTGGTGGTGTTGTGGGGATGATGTGGTAGTGGTGGTGTTGTGGTGGATGTGTGCTGTAGTGGTGGTGTTGTGGTGGATGTGTGCTGTGGTGGTGGTGTTGTGGTGGATGTTGCTGTGGTGGTGGTGTTGTGGTGGATGTGTGCTGTAGTGGTGGTGTTGTGGTGGATGTGTGCTGTGGTGGTGGTGTTGTGGTGGATGTGTGCTGTGGGGTGGGTGTGGTGGATGTGTGCTGTAGTGGTGGTGTTGTGGTGGATGTGTGCTGTAGGGTGGTGTTGTGGTGGCTGTGTGCTGTGGTGGTGGTGTTGTGGTGGATGTGTGGTGTATAGTGGTGTTGTGGTGGATGGGTGTAGTGTGGTGTGTGGGGATGTGTGCTGTGGTGGTGGTGTTGTGGTGGATGTGTGCTGTGTGGTGGTGTTGTGGTGGATGTGTGGTGGAGTGGTGGGTGGTGTGGTGGATGTGTGGGGTGTGGTGTTTGTGGTGGATGTGTGGTGTAGTGGTGGTTGTGGTATGTGTGGTGTAGTTGGTGGTGTTGTGGTGGTTGGTGTAGTGGTGGTGGTTGTGGTGGATGTGTGCTGTAGTGGTGGTGTTGTGGTGGATGTGTTGCTGTGGTGGTGGTGTTGTGTGGATGTGTGGCTGTGGTGTGTGGTTGTGGTGGATGTGTGCTGTAGTGGTGGTGGTTGTGGTGGCTGTGGCTGTAGTGGTGGTGTTGTGGTGATGATGAGGTGAGTGGTGGTGTTGTGGTGATGATGAGGTGAGTGGTGGTGTTGTGGGGGATGTGGTGCTGTAGTGGTGTTGTGGTGGATGTGTGCTGTGGTGGTGGGTGTTGTGGTGGAGGTGTACTGTGGTGGTGTGTTGTGGTGGATGTGTGCTGTGGTGGTGGTGTTGTGGTGGATTGTGCTGTTGGTGGTGGGGTGTTGTGGTGGATGTGTACTGGTGTGGTGGTGTTGTGGTGGATGTGTGCTGTAGTGGTGGTGTTGTGGTGCATGTGTGCTGTGGTGGTGGTGTTGTGGTGGATGTGTGCTGTAGTGATGAGGTGTTGTGGTGGATGTGTGCTGTGGTGGTGGTGTTGTGGTGGATGTGTGCTGTAGTGGTGGTGTTGTGGTGGCTGTGTGCTGTAATGGTGAGGTGTTGTGGTGGCTGTGTGCTGTAGGCACGAGTAGTGGCTCGGTGCTGGTCTACCATCTCACCAGCGGGCTGCTCTACAAGGAGTTCAGTGTGCACACCTGTGAGGTCCGGTACGTGAGCACGCAGACTAACACGCGGACTGACACGCAGACTAACACGCGGAGATGCACGTGGTGTCGCGCTGTGCGTCACACGGGGAGTCACGACAAGACAATGACTCAGAATGTTGAGGCAAGTGCTGTTAGGGAGCACCTATTAAGGCCGGAGCAACACAAGTGAAGGTGGTGTGACTGTCGCCACGTTCGTCCACTTACGTCTCCCCAATGGTGATGTTTACACGCCACACGCAGTACTAGTTTGAGGCTGAGTTGACCTAGGCAAGGCCCATGACTGACGTTGGCCAGGGGCGGGAATGAACTTGGGTCGCCGAGTTCGTATTGCACTTCAGGCTACGCCACCGCTCCCAAAACACAGTCACACCCAACACACATTGTTCTCCGTATATTCATAACACACCACACACCATCAGCACAGTCAAAACACAGTGTCCACTGTACCTACACAACACACGGCATCACATGGCACACACAACACCAAACACTCAACATACGAAGCACACACATAGGCCAATCAAATTAAACTCGGTATGTACTCAACACACAGTTAGCAGAACCTGCAGCACAAAGTAAGCCCACACACAGAGTAAACTGTAACAACAAACACACGTACATTGTCCAGCACACTCGGCAGATGCAGAACACCAAGCACAGAAGCCAGCACTCATAAATGTGTATATGTGTGCTTGTATGTCTTTGTACAGCCTCAAATTAGTACCTGGCGCGATGTGTAAACATCGCCACTGGGGAGACAAAGGCAGCCGGGCGTGGTGTTGGCCACCCACCCCCTCGTGTGCTGTGCTGACCTTCATAGGTGCTGGCTAACAGCACTTGACCCAACAGTCTGTTTAGGCTATATGGGGGATCTTTGTCTTTTTTGCCTTTGTGTGTCTGTGCTTGTGCCTGGTTCTTGTGTGTGTGTTTGCCTGTGTGTGTCTTTGTGTGCCTGCGCCTGTGTGTGCCTCTGTGTGTGCCTCTGTGTGTGTGTGTCTCTGTGTGTGTGTCTGTGCCTTTGATTGCCTCTGTGTGTGTCTGTGCCTGTGATTGCCTCTGTGTATCTGTGTGTGTGTGTGTGGCTGTGCCTGTGATTGCCTCTGTGTGTGTCTTTGTGTGCCTGCGCCTGTGATTGCCTCTGTGTGTGTGTGTCTGTGCCTGTGATTGCCTCTGTGTGTGTCTGTGCCTGTGATAGCCTCTGTGTGTGTGGCTGTGCCTGTGATTGCCTCTGTGTGTGTGGCTGTGCCTGTGATTGCCTCTGTGTGCCTCTGTGTGCCTCTGTGTGTCTCTGTGTGCGCAGGGGTATTGAGTGGGTGAGCCTGACATCATTCCTGTCCCACGCCAGCTCCACCCCTAATAACGTGGGCTTGGTTCGCAATGAACTTCAACTGGTGGACATGTCTACAGGTACACACAAACACACATGCACACATGGGTACTTGCATCGACACGATTGCAACACATTAAGCAACACACCGATACGCACATGCATACATGCCGGGCGAGGTACACTTTGAGGCCATGTGGATCCGGAAAATCTTAGCAGAAAATCACAGGACCGGCCCATCTCTATCTATCTCACATTGATCTAGCCAAGTCTTTCAAAGCCATGAAGAAGAAGTTTCAGGGGCTCTGAATCTTTATTTTTGGTCCTCAGGTTTCCAGAGCCCTTGCTCACAAACATGAGGGACGCTGAGAGGTTTGGCAGGCCCAGGGGTCAGGGTGTGTCACGCCAATAGGAGCAGCAGCGATGTTTGCTGCTGCTCCTATAGATTTTACTAATTAGTTTAACTACGTACTCTGCCTTCATGGCTGTATTGGTGGTTGTTTTGTTCCATACATTATAGTGGGAGGTTGCTTAATGTCATAATGTGATAAATGCATGGCTCCCTATATGGTACAATCACGCTACGAATGTCATTTACCTTGTCAGTGGCTGGGTGATTGCTCTCCATTCTGAGAAGACATCAGAGATCATGTTATTGATCCTGAAGCTTGCCACAACGGAACACGTGCCTGGGTATTTTGTGCCATCCACAACTTTATGCAATCCGACGGTAGAAGAGTTCCTGCACCTGTGGAGTTCTCATCGCCAGCTCTGGTTTGGTGGCCAAATCAGATTAGCAGAGTCAACATTTCACTAGCTGCATAACACTGTATTAGGTTGCCTGATCTGTCATTCTGACAAAAATGCTTACAAAATCATGGGATTCCATTCCAGTTACACCTACACCCGCTGGAAACAATCCAGGCTGACCTTTATATGGTCCGTGCTGGGTTTACCCGTATAGGATTGTGTGAGCTGCTCTGGCAGGTGAAATGCTTTGGCAGGTGAGGATGCTTGGTCACGCATCCCCAACGCTAAGCCATCATGTGATGAAGCAGGCCAAATAGCGGAGGCTAATCGGACGCAGTATGCGCCAGAGAAGAGGGGTGATGTGGTTAATTGGGGCTTGCGTTCAAGTGCACTGACGGCGTGATTATGCCGGCGAGTTGAGGACTGTCGGTGCCAGCTCGCGCCCGCTGTGTGATGCTGCTGCTGCGTGGTGGCGGTGGGCAGGGCGGAGCACGCCGTTCCGCGGCGAGAGGGGGAACGATGAGCCTCCTATCGACATGATCAAGATCTCACACCTCAAGTGAGTCCCAGCACCACCGCCGCCTCCCGCACCCGGCACAGGCCGATGAACGCGTCCGCTCGTGCTTTCATATCACGTGACGAGAGCTCTGCTCCAGACAATGCTGTTTTAACTAAAACTAAACTATTTTTTATTTTATCAGGTAAGGCCCACTGAGTTACATCCTTCTTTTTCAGAAGCGACTTGGCCACAGATGATAGCTGAACGAAGTGGCTTATCATGTGGAAACTTTTAGCAGCCAAATACTCTGAACGCCTGTTGATTCTAAATACTCTAAACGCATTTTGGAGTCTCCGGTGGTTTCCTCTGTCCTCCTATGGGGCTCTTACACGTGGGATATTGTCACATGGCGCGCTTGGGCCAGCGAGTTTTAGATTTAGAAACTACTGGGTTAATTTAAGTTCATCTATCGTTCACCTACACTCTCGAGCATTTGACTTTCCGATAATGCTGGAAGCGTCCCTATCGTCAGCGCTTGACGTGGAGCCATGACGCGGCTGTGTGCGGCTGTGTATGGCTGCTCGCGGCTGTGTGTGGCTGTGTGTGGCTGTGTGGCTGTGTGTGGCTGTGTGTGGCTGTGTGCGGCTGTGTGTGGTGCTCGCGGCTGTGTGTGGCTGCTCGCGGCTGTGTGTGGCTGCTCGCGGCTGTGTGTGGCTGTGTGTGGCTGTGTGGCTGTGTGTGGCTGTGTGTGGCTGTGTGCGGCTGTGTGTGGTGCTCGCGGCTGTGTGTGGCTGCTCGCGGCTGTGTGTGGCTGCTCGCGGCTGTGTGTGGCTGCTCGCGGCTGTGTGTGGCTGCTCGCGGCTGTGTGTGGCTGCTCGCGGCTGTGTGTGGCTGCTCGCGGCTGTGTGTGGCTCTCGCGGCTGTGTGTGGCTGCTCGCGGCTGTGTGTGGCTGCTCGCGGCTGTGTGTGGCTGTGTGTGCTGCTCGTGGCTGTGTGTGGCTGTGTGTGCTGCTCGCGGCTGTGTGTGGCTGTGTGTGCTGCTCGTGGCTGTGTGTGGCTGTGTGTGCTGCTCGCGGCTGTGTGTGGCTGCTCGTGGCTGTGTGTGGCTGTGTGTGCTGCTCGTGGCTGTGTGTGGCTGTGTGTGCTGCTCGCGGCTGTGTGTGGCTGTGTGTGCTGCTCGTGGCTGTGTGTGGCTGTGTGTGCTGCTCGTGGCTGTGTGTGGCTGTGTGTGCTGCTCGCGGCTGTGTGTGGCTGCTCGCGGCTGTGTGTGGCTGTGTGTGCTGCACGCGGCTGTGTGTGCTGCTCGCGGCTGTGTGTGCTGCTCGTGGCTGTGTGTGGCTGTGTGTGCTGCTCGCGGCTGTGTGTGGCTGTGTGTGCTGCTCGCGGCTGTGTGTGGCTGTGTGTGCTGCTCGCGGCTGTGTGTGCTGCTCGCGGCTGTGTGTGCTGCTCGCGGCTGTGTGTGCTGCCGTAGGCAGTATCTGATTGTGGCGTTCCGCGACAAGCCCGTCGAGTTGTGGGACGTGCGCACGGGCGCCCTGCTGCGCGAGATGCCCAAGACCTTCCCGGCCGTCACGGCCCTGGTGAGCAGGGCCACTCTTGCACGCACGCACGCACGCACGCACATACTCTGTAAGGGTAATGGGCCTTCCATCGTAGCGACGGTGACATCAATGAAGATGTGTCCCATGCTCAGGCGTGCTGGACTGAAGCCGCCCCTATGTGGTGGAAAACCCTTCCGCAGACATCGCAAAGTCACGGTGAGGAGGTGATGGTTGTACGCAGGCTTCGCGTGGTTTCGTTACCCACTCCAGGTTGCGCTCCCCGCCCGTGCCGCCCCCCACAGGAGTGGTCCCCCTCTCACAACCTGCGCACCCTGCGCAAGAAGCAACTGGCGGCGCGGGAGGCGATGGCGCGGCAAACGAGCGTGACCGATGGGGAGACCGGCTCCCTGCAACCCTCGCTCATCAGGTGAGCAATCGCCACCACCACAACCGTACACGCTCCAACCACAACCACAGACTACAGCCACCACCACAACCGTAAATGCTCCAGCCACACACTACAGCAACAACCATGGCCACAACCATACACGCTACAACCACAATCATACACGACAGCAACCACTATCATGACCATACACACTATAACCACACACTGTAGCAACCACCACAACCATACACAGTACAGCAATCACAAACATGCATACATGGCAACCACTATACCCACAACCACAACACCACTACACCCAGAACAATACACTCGCTCACATACATGTGGTCGATGCTATTGGTGTGGTTGAGCTGTGGATGCTGTGATTATTATGAATGATAGTTGTATTGTATTGGGGTGGATGGGGTGTAGGTCGTGGTGTGTGTTGTGTACAGTAATCCCTCACCAACCGCGTTTTTTGCATTCGTGGTATTTATGTATCAATGGTTTTCCTTCGCTATACCAATTTGTTTATCGAGGTGTGGAGTTTTGTGTATCCGCGGTTTAGCACAGCGACCGTCACTTGTCATTCCAAATCCCGTGCATCGTCTCATCCCCCAGCTCCCCCCCCCCCCCCCGTGCATCGTCTCATCCCCCAGCTCCCCCCCCCCCCGTGCATCGTCTCATCCCCCAGCTCCCCCCCCCGTGCATCATCTCATCCCCCAGCTCCCCCCCCCCCGTGCATCATCTCATCCCCCAGCTCCCCCCCCCCCGTGCATCATCTCATCCCCCAGCTCCCCCCCCCCGTGCATCGTCTCATCCCCCAGCTCCCCCCCCCCCCGTGCATCATCTCATCACCCAGCTCACCCCCCCCCCGTGCATCATCTCATCCCCCAGCTCCCCCCCCCCGTGCATCATCTCATCCCCCAGCTCCCCCCCCCCCCCCGTGCATCATCTCATCTCCCAGCTCCCCCCCCCCGTGCATCATCTCATCCCCCAGCTCCCCCCCCCCGTGCATCATCTCATCTCCCAGCTCCCCCCCCCCTCGTGCATCATCTCATCCCCCAGCTCCCCCCCCCGTGCATCATCTCATCTCCCAGCTCCCCCCCCCCCGTGCATCATCTCATACCCCAGCTCCCCCCCCCCGTGCATCATCTCATCCCCCAGCTCCCCCCCCCCCGTGCATCATCTCATCCCCCAGCTCCCCCCCCCCGTGCATCATCTCATCTCCCAGCTCCCCCCCGTGCATCATCTCATCTCCCAGCTCCCCCCCCCCCCGTGCATCATCTCATCTCCCAGCTCCCCCCCCCCCCCGTGCATCATCTCATCCCCCAGCTCCCCCCCCCGTGCATCATCTCATCCCCCAGCTCCCCCCCCCCCCCCCGTGCATCATCTCATCCCCCAGCTCCCCCCCCCGTGCATCATCTCATCTCCAGCTCCCCCCCCCGTGCATCATCTCATCTCCCAGCTCCCCCCCCCCCCCGTGCATCATCTCATCTCCAAGCTCCCCCCGTGCATCATCTCATACCCCAGCTCCCCCCCCCCCGTGCATCATCTCATCCCCAGCTCCCCCCCCCCCGTGCATCATCTCATACCCCAGCTCCCCCCCCCCCGTGCATCATCTCATCCCCCAGCTCCCCCCCCCCGTGCATCATCTCATCCCCCAGGCCCCCCCCCCCGTGCATCATCTCATCTCCCAGCTCCCCCCCCCCCCGTGCAACATCTCATCCCCCAGCTCCCCCCCCCCCCCGTGCATCATCTCATCTCCCAGCTCCCCCCCCCCCGTGCATCATCTCATCTCCAAGCTCCCCCCCCCCGTGCATCATCTCATACCCAAGCTCCCCCCCCCCCGTGCATCATCTCATACCCCAGCTCCCCCCCCCCCGTGCATCATCTCATCTCCAAGCTCCCCCCCCCCCGTGCATCATCTCATCCCCCAGCTCCCCCCCCCCCGTGCATCATCTCATCCCCCAGCTCCCCCCCCCCCGTGCATCATCTCATTCCCCAGCTCCCCCCCCCCCCCGTGCATCGTCTCATCCCCCAGCTCCCCCCCCCGTGCATCATCTCATCCCCCAGCTCCCCTCCCCCGTGCATCATCTCATCCCCCAGCTCTCCCCCCCCCGTGCATCATCTCATCTCCAAGCTCCCCCCCCCCCCCCGTGCATCATCTCATCTCCAAGCTCCCCCCCCCCGTGCATCATCTCATCCCCCAGCTCCCCCCCCCCGTGCATCATCTCATCTCCAAGCTCCCCCCCCCGTGCATCATCTCATCTCCCAGCTCCCCCCCCCCCCCCGTGCATCATCTCATCTCCAAGCTCCCCCCGTGCATCATCTCATACCCCAGCTCCCCCCCCCCCGTGCATCATCTCATCCCCCAGCTCCCCCCCCCCGTGCATCATCTCATACCCCAGCTCCCCCCCCCCCGTGCATCATCTCATCCCCCAGCTCCCCCCCCCCCCCCGTGCATCATCTCATCTCCAAGCTCCCCCCCCCCGTGCATCATCTCATCTCCAAGCTCCCCCCCCCCCCGTGCATCATCTCATCCCCCAGCTCCCCCCCCCCGTGCATCATCTCATCCCCCAGCTCCCCCCCCCCGTGCATCATCTCATCCCCCAGCTCCCCCCCCCCGTGCATCGTCTCATCTCCAAGCTCCCCCCCCCCCCGTGCATCATCTCATCTCCAAGCTCCCCCCCCCCCGTGCATCGTCTCATCTCCAAGTTCCCCCCCCCCCCGTGCATCATCTCATCCCCCAGCTCCCCCCCCCCGTGCATCATCTCATCCCCCAGCTCCCCCCCCCCGTGCATCATCTCATCCCCCAGCTCCCCCCCCCGTGCATCGTCTCATCTCCAAGCTCCCCCCCCCCCGTGCATCATCTCATCCCCCAGCTCCCCCTCCCCCGTGCATCATCTCATCCCCAGCTCCCCCCCCCCGTGCATCATCTCCTCTCCAAGCTCCCCCCCCCCCCGTGCATCATCTCATCTCCAAGCTCCCCCCCCCCCCGTGCATCATCTCATCTCCCAGCTCCCCCCCCCCCGTGCATCATCTCATCCCCCAGCTCCCCCCCCCCGTGCATCATCTCATCCCCCAGCTCCCCCCCCCCGTGCATCATCTCATCCCCCAGCTCCCCCCCCCGTGCATCATCTCATACCCCAGCTCCCCCCCCCCCCCGTGCATCATCTCATCTCCCAGCTCCCCCCCCCCGTGCATCATCTCATACCCCAGCTCCCCCCCCGTGCATCGTCTCATCCTCCAGCTCCCCCCCCCGTGCATCATCTCATCCCCCAGCTCCCCCCCCCGTGCATCGTCTCATCCCCCAGCTCCCCCCCCCCCGTGCATCATCTCATCCCCCAGCTCCCCCCCCCCCCGTGCATCATCTCATCTCCCAGCTCCCCCCCCCCCGTGCATCGTCTCATCCCCCAGCTCCCCCCCCCCGTGCATCATCTCATCTCCCAGCTCCTCCCCCCGTGCATCATCTCATCCCCCAGCTCTCCCCCCCCCCGTTCATCATCTCATCCCCCAGCTCCCCCCCCCGTGCATCGTCTCATCCCCCAGCTCCCCCCCCCGTGCATCGTCTCATCTCCCAGCTCCCCCCCCCCCCGTGCATCGTCTCATCCCCGAGCCCCCCCCCCCCCGTGCATCGTCTCATCCCCAGCCCCCCCCCCCCCGTGCATCGTCTCATTCCCCAGCTCCCCCCTCCCCCGTGCATCGTCTCATTACCCAGCTCCCCCCCCCCCGTGCATCGTCTCATCCCCCAGCTCCCCCCCCGTGCATTGTCTCATTCCCCAGCTCCCCCCCCCCCGTGCATCATCTCATCCCCCAGCTCCCCCCCCCCCCCGTGCATCGTCTCATACCCCAGCTCCCCCCCCGTGCATCGTCTCATACCCCAGCTCCCCCCCCCGTGCATCGTCTCATCCCCCAGCTCCCCCCCCGTGCATCGTCTCATCCCGCAGCTCCCCCCCCCCGTGCATCATCTCATCCCCCAGCTCCCCCCCCCCCGTGCAGTCGTCTCATACCCCGCTCCCCCCCCCCGTGCATCGTCTCATACCCCAGCTCCCCCCCCGTGCATCGTCTCATCCCCCAGCTCCCTCCCCCGTGCATCATCTCATCCCCCAGCTCCCCCCCCCCCCGTGCATCGTCTCATCCCCACCCCAGCTCCCCCCCCCCGTGCATCATCTCATCTCCCAGCTCCCCCCCCCCCGTGCATCGTCTCATCCCCCAGCTCCCCCCCCCCCCCCGTGCATCATCTCCTCCCCCAGCTCCCCCCCCCCCGTGCATCGTCTCATCCCCCAGCTCCCCCCCCCCCCTGCATCATCTCATCTCCCCAGCTCCCCCCCCCCGTGCATCGTCTTATCTCCCATCTCCCCCCCCCGTGCATCATCTCATCCCCCAGCTCCCCCCCCCGTGCATCGTCTCATCCCCAGCTCCCCCCCCCCCCCGTGCTCTCTCATCCCCCAGCTCCCCCCCCCCCGTGCATCATCTCATCCCCCAGCTCCCCCCCCCCGTGCATCATCTCATCCCCCATCCCCCCCCCGTGCATCGTCTCATCCCCACTCCCCCCCCCCCGTGCATCATCGCATCCCCCAGCTCCCCCCCCGTGCAATCGTCTCATCCCCCAGCTCCCCCCCCCCGTGCATCGTCTCATCCCCCAGCTCCCCCCCCCCCTGCATCGTCTCATCCCCCAGCTCCCCCCCCCCGTGCATCATCTCATCCCCCAGCCCCCCCCCGTGCATCATCTCATCTCCCAGCTCCCCCCCCCCCCGTGCATCTCATCTCCCAGCTCCCCCCCCCGTGCATCGTCTCATCCCCCTCCCCCCCCCCCGTGCATCATCTCATCCCCAGCTCCCCCCCCCGTGCATCATCTCCTCCCACTCCCCCCCCCCGTGCATCATCTATCCCAGCTCCCCCCCCCCCCTGCATCGTCTCATACCCCAGCTCCCCCCCCCCGTGCATCATCTCATCCCCCAGCTCCCCCCCCGTGCATCATCTCATCCCCCAGCTCCCCCCCGTGCATCATCTCATCCCCAGCTCCCCCCCCCCGTGCATCATCTCATCCCCAGCTCCCCCCCCCCCGTGCATCATCTCATCCCCCAGCTCCCCCCCCCCGTGCATCATCTCATACCCAGCTCCCCCCCCCCCCGTGCATCATCCTCATACCCAGCTCCCCCCCCCCCGTGCATCGCTCATACCCCAGCTCCCCCCCCCCGTGGCATCGCTCATACCCCAGCTCCCCCCCCCGTGCATCGTCTCAGCCCCCAGCTCCCCCCCCCGTGCATCGTCTCATCCCCCAGCTCCCCCCCCCGTGCATCGTCTCATCCCCCAGCTCCCCCCCCCGTGCATCGTCTTATCCCCCAGCTCCCTCCCCCCCGTGCATCGTCTCATACCCAGCTCCCCCCCCCCCCCGTGCATCGTCTCATCCCCGCTCCCCCCCCCCGTTGCATCGCTCTCATCCCCCAGCTCCCCCCCCCCGTGCATCGTCTCATCCCCCAGCTCCCCCCCCCCCCGTGCATCGTCTCATCCCCCAGCTCCCCCCCCCCGTGCATCGTCTCATCTCCCAGCTCCCCCCCCCCCCCCGTGCATCATCTCATACCCCCAGCTCCCTCCCCCCCCCGTGCATCATCTCATACCCCAGATCCCTACCCCCCGTTGCATCGTCTCATACCCCAGCTCCCCAACCCCCCGTGCATCATCTCATCCCCCAGCTCCCCCCCCCCCGTGCATCGTCTCATCCCCCAGCTCCCCCCCCGTGCATCGTCTCATCTCCCAGCTCCCCCCCCCCCCCGTGCATCGTCTCATCCCCCAGACCCCCCCCCCCCCTGCATCGTCTCATCCCCAGCCCCCCCCCCCCGGCCCGTGCATCGTCTCATTACCCAGCTCCCCCCCCCCCCCCGTGCATCGTCTCATCCCCCAGCTCCCCCCCCCGTGCATCGTCTCATTCCCCAGCTCCCCCCCCCCCGTGCATCATCTCATCCCCCAGCTCCCCCCCCCCCGTGCATTGTCTCATACCCCAGCTCCCCCCCCCGTGCATCGTCTAATCCCCCAGCTCCCACCACCTGTGCACTGTCTCATCCGCAGCTCCCCCCCGCCCCCCCCCCAGTGCATCATCTCATCCCCCAGCTCCCCCCCCCCCGTGCATCGTCTCATACCCCAGCTCCCCCCCCCGTGCATCGTCTCATACCCCAGCTCCCCCCCCGTGCATCGTCTCATCCCCAGCTCCCCCCCCCCCCCGTGCATCGTCTCATTCCCCAGCTCCCCCCCCCCGTGCATCGTCTCATCCCCCAGCTCCCCCCCCCCCCCGTGCATCGTCTCATCCCCCAGCTCCCCCCCCCCGTGCATCGTCTCATCCCCCAGCTCCCCCCCCCTCGTGCATCGTCTCATCCCCCAGCTCCCCCTCCCCGTGCATCGTCTCATCTCCCAGCTCCCCCCCCCCCCCGTGCATCATCTCATACCCCAGCTCCCTCCCCCCCCCCCGTGCATCATCTCATTCCCCAGCTCCCCCCCCCCCCCGTGCATCGTCTCATCCCCCAGCTCCCCCCCCCGTGCATCGTCTCATCCCCCAGCTCCCCCCCCCCGTGCATCATCTCATCCCCCAGCTCCCTCCCCCCCGTGCATCATCTCATCCCCCAGCTCCCCCCCCCCCCGTGCATCGTCTCATACCCCAGCTCCCCCCCCGTGCATCGTCTCATCCCCCTGCTCCCCCCCCGTGCATCGTCTCACCCCCCAGCTCCCCCCCCCCCCCCCGTGCATCGTCTCATCCCCCAGCTCCCCCCCCCGTGCATCGTCTCATCCCCCAGCTCCCCCCCCCCGTGCATCGTCTCATCCCCCAGCTCCCCCCCCCGTGCATCGTCTCATCCCCCAGCTCCCCCTCCCCGTGCATCGTCTCATCTCCCAGCTCCCCCCCCCCCCCGTGCATCATCTCATACCCCAGCCCCCCCCCCCCCGTGCATCGTCTCATCCCCCAGCTCCCCCCCCCCCGTGCATCGTCTCATCCCCCAGCTCCCCCCCCCCGTCCATCATCTCATCCCCCAGCTCCCCCCCCGTGCATCGTCTCATCTCCCAGCTCCCCCCCGTGCATCGTCTCATCCCCCAGCTCCCACCACCGCTCTCTTCCCACCACCAGGTGGAGGTAGAGGGTGGGCAAAGCCCCTCCTCTTCCTTTTAACAACCACTGCCCCCATTAACTCATCCTCATCAATGTCATCGTCATCATCATGGACGTCAACCCTCAGTATTAAAAGTAAATAACATAAATGTATTTTTTTAATCGTGTTATTTTATAATTTATTGTTTTTATTACGTGATTGTGTATGTTAGTTGTGTTTAGTGAAGGCAACTGAGGCTTTGACGAGTGTGACCACGGCCGCGGTTGCCCTAACCCCCGATTCCCCATGTGGCCTGAGTATTGCCAACCACGGCGGTTTTGCCAACCATGGCGGTTTTCAGAAAGGTAACCCCCGCGGTTGGCCATGGATCGTTGTATGGGTGTAGCAGAGGGGTGGGTGGTGTTCAGTAGTGGTGTGTGTAGTTGTGGGGTGGGTGGGGGTAGTAGTGTGTGCAGTGGGTGTGTAGTCGTGATGTGGGTTGTGTGTATTCGTGGTGTGGGTAGTCTGCTGCAGGACGCAGAGAGCAAGGCGGAACAGGGAGCGACTGTGTGCGCGCGTGAACACTTTGTGTTCACCGACTCCAACGGAGTCATCTACCACTTCACCGTGGAGGGCACGAGCGTCAAGGAGGGGGCACGCATCCCCCCCGATGTGAGGGCACACACAGTGACACTCACCGTGACACTCACCCACACAGCGAGAATCGAACTCAGGTTGCCGAGTTCGTAGTGAAATAGACACGGTGACACACAGTGACATACGCAGTGCCACTCACAGGATCATGCCTAACACATATACAGTGTTACTCTCACAGTATCACACTCGCATAGCACCACGGGAAAACTCATCCAGTCATCTCACTGTCACACATTTCACCTTCACAAAACCACTGGCTGTACCAATGACCCTGACCTTGGCCTCTACTCTTCATCATTCCCTGTCCCTGAATCCTTGCACTGCAACCCAGGCCAGCATGGGCAGCATCAGCAGCATTGCCTGGAAGGGAGATGTTCTGGTGCTCGGCGACTCGGATGGAAACCTCAACTTCTGGGACCTGAAGGCGAAGCTGTCCAGGTGAGTTGTACGATCAGTAGTGGCCACTTACTCCTACCCCTACTCTCCCCTCCTCTCCCCCTACTGTCCCCTTCTACTCTCTCCTTCTGCTCTCTCCCCGCTCTACCCCCCCCCCCCCCCACTTTCCCCTCCACTCTCCCCCCCGCTTTTCCTCCCTACTCTCCCCCTACTCTTCCCCCCACTGCCACTGTGCTGGCTTTGTGCGAGACTCCAGGCAGGCTGGGGGTGCTGCCCTCCTCTGTGATTTCGTAGCCAATGTCGTGATTCATAATGGAGTTTTGGGTTAGGTCATGTAATGGTCAGACCGAATATGTGTCGTGAACTCTCCTGTGTGTGTGTCTGTGTCTACGTGTGTGTGTCTTTGTAAATATGGAGAGCAATAGTTTAGTGGTGAGCCCATTGAGCTACGAACCTAGCGACCCAGGTTCCATTCCGATTTTCAGTCAACATCGGGTGACAAATATCTGAACTGGTCCTGAGCCTGTTATAGGTTGACTCGGCCTTAAAATGCGTACCTGGTGTGGTGCGTGTAAACCCACCACCTCCTGCACAGTGCCGGCGTTCATCGGTGCTTGCTAATGGCACTTTCCCAAGCAGTATTTCAAAGGCTACGCGGGGGATCTTTGTGTCTGTGGTCTCCCAGGGGAATCCCCACTCACCGAGGCTGGGTGCGGAGGTTGCGCTTCGCTCCCGGGAAGGGGAACTCGCGCCTCCTCGTTCTGTACAACGACGGCATCGAGATCTGGGACACCAAGGAGGTAGGGGCCGCCCCCCGCACCTCCCCCCGCACCTCCCCCCGCACCTCCGGCGTGCTCGGTCTCGCAAGTCGCGCGAGCACAGCACCAGGTCAGAGAGCCCGGAGCAAGATCCAGCTCAGAGTCAGAATATTTATTTATACTGGAGGAATCCAATGAGCTGTAAAGCTCCTTTTCACAGATATCCAGTAGGGGGTGGGGGGTAAGAACGTTACAGCAACATACAGGACAAACAAATCACCCAAACACATACAAATCAAACTAAACCATCCCTATCCTACCAGGCACAAAGCTCACTGAGGTTTTAACTTAATTCAGAAGCGACCTGGTCACAAATGATCGCTCAACAAAGTGGCTTGTCATGTAGAAATTTATAGCCGTAAAATAATCTAGATAATCTCAAAGCATGTTTCTAAAATGCTCCCTCGTGTGTCTGGGACAATTTCCCACCGAGACGTCTCCTCGCAAACGCTCGCGCCTCACAGCAAGAGGGCCCTGGGTTCAATTCCCGACTCGCGCACCTTTCTGCGTGGAGTTTGTTTGCTTTCCGTCTACTGTGGTATTCTCCGATAGCTAAAACAACATCGTACACTGTGACTGGCGTTGGCCAAAAATGGGATCACACGCAGCAGCAACAACGCCCCCGACTGCGAACATTTGGCAGGCCCCTTCTGAAAGAGGGTCTTGAGACTTGTTGAGGCTTTCCTGAGTAAACAAGGGCAATAAATATATATTACTGATCTTTGGCTGGTAATGGTAAGGAGCTGCTGCCTTACCGCCCCATTGGCCAGTGGCCATCATTGTGCGAATTAAGCTCCACAGCGCGGTAAGGAGAAAGGTGGTCATTGCTCACTGTGTGAGTGTGTTCACTGCGTGAGCGTGTGCCTACTGTGTGCATGTGATGGTCCAGGTGAAGATGGTGAGCAGCCTGCGCAGTGGGCGCAGCGTGGCGTGGCGCGTGCTCGACGTGGACTGGTGCACCTCGGACAAGGCGGTGCTCGCGTGCGAGGACGGCTGCGTGCGCGTCAGCGACACGGCGCTCCGGGGCTCCGCATTCCGCATGGAGGAGCAGGAGCTCACCGGTACCCGGGAGTTGGGGTGGGAGGAGGGGAGGGAACGGGGGCATGTCTCGGTTATCTGTTTGGATTCTGCGCCCTTCAAAATATCCAGATACAAACTCTCACAAGTTCAAAAACTAAAATCTTTATCAACCTCCGTCCTCCCACTGACCAGCGTGGGAGAGGCCTTTATCCTGGACATTTTTGTAATCGTTTTTATTACGTTAAGAGTCTCAAATTAGAACGTTTAGATTAGATGTTGTCCAGTTATAAGCACAGGCCCGACTCTATTTGCACCGAAGTTCACTTCTAACCCTTCTCGAAAATCATTATAGTTGACATGAGTCACTCAATCGCCAATTGAGTGAGGGAACAACACATGACTACAACATAGGAAGACAACAATTCATGCCTTGATGTTGAAATATGTGAAATCCTGTCTCTCCTGAAAAGCAGCATTCTGGTGGCGAGCCCTTTCCAATGATTGCATGAATACACGAGGGCTTTAACAGGGCACCTTGAGGGCACAATTACAGGCCACAGTGGCTTCACTTGAACCCAGACAGAGCGAATCAGGACTGCCCCTGGGCGGTGTGTCTGTGGTGAAGGAATGAGGACAGGCCCAGCTTTCTCTTCACCGACTATACCTTTAAATTTACAGATGTTCCAAAAGCATCTCGTATGTAACCCTTTGTAGTGTGGCCTCATGTACCCCATGCACATGCTTGTCTTAAAAATTATGTTTCTTTTCCTATCTAGCCAAGCGTTCAGTGTCGTCTGCTGATTCAGCTCCCAATGTTAAAAAAGGGCTCCCTTGATATTCGGCCCTTGATTCGTGCCCAAGGACAAACCAGATCACCTCCCATACTGTGTTCAAACCTCACGTGGTTTAATGTCAAGTATCCCACTTGAGATCCTCATGGGTCTGAATGAGAGATCCACAGCTCTCTGGCTGTTTTAATGGGGATACCTCTTCCGATTTGAGGAGACGGATCATTAAAATGTACTTCTGGCTAAAGTCCATACACTGTCTCACATCGTGGCAATTCAAGTTTAAGATGCATGGTAAATATTAGCCGCACTAATTTTGTTTTGACCTCCAAATACTGCCGAATAGCCCAAGTGATGTGATTAAGCTTTTTGCTTGTGGCTTGATGAACAGTTTAATATTATGAAGCCAATTTAACATCGGTGACAAGTACTGACCAATCCTGGGCCCTCCACTTTCCTCCAACCGCTGTCCCCAGCGTGGCGAAATCTAGTTCAACAACCCCTTGACTCACAGAGTGTTGGGAGACTGGCATTCATCGGGAGTGTGACAAACGGCTGACAATTACTATCATTTTATCCAATCACCGCATATCCTTTATCACCTCTATTAGGGTGCAGAGGCTGGGTGCGAGGCCTTGTCACTGTCAGCGCCCACCCTTGCCTAGGGAGCCGGCTCAACGAGTCCCCCACAACCCAGATACAAAGTGGAGAGGCGCTGCCATTTACACAAACACTAAAATTAAGGCATTGCAAAATAATAATAATTTCATGTAAAATATCTAAGTATAAATTGTATCTTAGTCAAGGAGACAACTATACTCTTTGGTTCTTTCGGTAAAGTCACGTAGGTATAAATAAAAAAAAATCACGACATTTCGGGTGCAACACCAGCGCCCTGATGACAGACGCTTGTGTTGCGCCCGAAACGTCGTGATCTATTTTATTTTATACCTACGTGACTTTACCGAAAGAACCAAAGAGTATGGATTCCTGCAGTCACGAAAGCTTCAAATCAAGATTGAGATCAAAACTGTCTTTATACACCTACCCACACCCCACACACACCAGCGACCTTCAACTCATTGCGAAGACACTGCCCTTGACTGCCACTAACCCCATGTGACCTCACTCCAGCCAATCACAGCGATGTTGCTTGTGCATGAAGAGGAAATGCTCGGTAATTTTTTAATGAAGTGGCGAGCACGTGCCACACCTAAACACATGGTTATGTTTCCTCGTTGCAACCCATTGTAAGCAGGGCAACGCGGACATGAATGATGTTGCAAGCGTTGTTATAGCAGCGGAATGTCTCTTTGACTTGAGCGGTAGTGACGTGTCTCCAGATGCGCTGTGGTGCCCGTATCTGCTGCCCCCGCGCGCCGGCCTGGCGCTGAAGGCCATCCTGCTGCACCAGCCGTGGGACTGCCGGCACACGCTGCAGATCGACGACATGTCTGTCCCAGCTCACACCACACATTCTTGCACACACACACACACACATGCATCCACAAAGACAAATATCCCTTTAGAGCCTTATCAGACTTTTTTGGGAAATTGCTCTTATTGAACACCTATGAAGGCTGGCACAGTACACGAGAGTGTGGGTGGCCAGCACCACGCCCAGCCGCCTTCGTCTCCCCCTTGGCGATGTTTACTCACCACACCGGTACTTATTTGAGGCTGAGTCGACTCTAGGGGAGGCCCAGGAACGGTTCAGATGATTGACACTGGTGTTGGCTGTGAGCATGAATGGCACTCGGGTTACTGGGTTCGTAGTGCAGTGTACACTACCGCTCCCCCCTATGCATACCCACGTACACATGCGCACAGGCAAAACTTACCCCATTTAGCGTTATAGACATGTTATCTGAGCAGGATGGTGTCCGTGCCGTGCGCCCGTGTGCAGAGACTACCAGGAGCATGTGGACGTGAAGCGCCTCTTGCAGGAGCAGCTGGACGCTTTGTCCAAGTGAGTGCCGCGCAGGGCGTGCATGAGCGACCGGGCCCTGTGCAGCAGGACCGCTGCTAGGCTCCTGGTCGCACGGCGCAGCTGCTACTGCTGCTGCGCTGTGGATGAGTTAAAGCAGCAATCGGTGCAGCGTTGTGAGCGCACTGCAGAGAGAGCGGAGGAGTTTGTCTGAGCGAGTGGTGTTTGCGGTGTGAGTGGAGCACTGTCAGGATACTGCTTTTGATCTGGTACTACGAGGTTTTGCCTTGTGGCTTGAGGTCAATGAGGCACAACCATAGAGGCATCTTGGATGGAAGCACCAACAGACAAGTCATTGGGAAGCTATTTCCAAGTAACTACAGTGTCATGAATCTCGATGTTTTTTCTTACTGGTTACTCATCAGTCAATTGCTCAAGTTCAGAGGCAATTAACATTGCTGTCATAATAATTCTAATTACTTCCTTATTTATCTAAGAGAACCATATTGCGTCATCGAACGCTTGTTTTGGAGGGTCTTGCATTGGGTTTTTATTTTAAGATGTTTTCAGGCAATTAATGACTTGTGTTTAATCAAGTGGGGGGAAATTGGAGCGCCCGGATAAAACCCACGTGCGTGCGGGGGCAACACTCCATACCAATGGAAACAGATGCCGATGAGTCCACTCGGTGTACTGCCTTCTCCTGACGAGCCAGGGTATGTCACCTTGATTCCATGGGAAGGGAGTTCACAACATTTGTGCAATCCACCAACCCTCGCCTCCACAGTGTTAGATTACAGACCACTTGGATAGCCACAACCGCCTGGCTCATGGTGTAAAGTTCTAGGTGTGAAATTACTCAACTGGTAGCATTAGTGCTGAGTGTACTTCCTAATGCATGAACCCGGGCTATAGAGTTACATGAGTCGTGTTTCCAGTCCTAGGGTGAAACGTGGTATTTACTTGAGTAATATGCTGCCGAAAACGTATGTCCGTCTGCCCTCAGTTGATCTGTTGTTACAAGGTAACACGACTGGGCAAACGCGTCAGGTGACGGGTTTTGATATATCCTGTTAAACGACATGTACAGTGAATTATCGGAAGTAAATGTGGTTAGGAAATAAGTCTTCAAGACCATGAAACCTCAAGGCCAAGATATATTCAATTACAGAATAAGTATGATTATGTATTCTTATTCAGTATTCTCTTGACTTCTCATTATTCTTATCTCAACATCAAACCTGTTTCGCTCAAACCTAACCTAAGTTGAACCGAAACCTCAGCTTACAACCAAAATCTTCTCCAGACCGAATTGGTCCAGAATGATTCCGATCTCCAGCAGCCAACATTGTATGGATGTAAGTTGAACTTCTTGCGCACCATACGTAGCCAATCGTGCTAATCGGAGGTGCTAATATTAGAAGTTTGTACCGTCTAAGTGTTGTTCATCCCCAGTTGTTCATGACTATAATTGAACGCAATAATTTATAAAAAACAACCCATTAAAAGGCACAATGTATCTGACATTTGTGATTTACACTCACAACAGCCCCACACACTCCCTATAATACCTCCAGTGTCTAGAGATGAATTCGAGTTTTGCCTCTCCCGTATTAAACCAATGTATCATTGCGTTATAGTTTCATATCGTGTGTCTGTGTGTGGGCTACAGTTATCTTGCTATGTGAAGGGGGGTGGTGATGAATCATCTCGGCTCTTCACTGGCATGGCTACTGGTGAAGCCGAGGTTTTGCAAGTCGTGTCGTGTTGCGCCGTGTCGCACAGTGTAGCGCATGCCGTTCAGCGTCGCGTAGTGTAGCGCCGTGTTGTGCCGTGTCGTGCAGTGTAGCGCACGTCATGCAGTGTCGCCCCGTGTCGCGCACGTTGCGCAGTGTCTCACAGATGCAGTGGTAATGTTGGGGCCAGATGGGTTAGCGTGGGGCATGAGTGGATCGTGTAGAGGGAGGACGGGCGACGGATCTGCACTTGTTATTTTACAATCATTACGTTGCGCTTTTGCTGCGTGTGTCTCCCTGCGTCCACAGCGATTACAAGAGTCTGCTGCTGAACCCCAACTTCTCCCTCCTGCAGAGGTGTCTCCTGACGGCCCGGTGAGTGGGCGTGCGACTGCATAGACTGACACAAAGGGCAGTGCCTCGAGATGTGAATTTGGCCGTTGTCTGTTTGCGACATATTTTTGGTGCAGCTGTGCAAAGCGTCCCATGGCAGGCATATTAATTGTGTGTACACAACGGGGATTAGGACACAAACGATTGAGTGATTACGTTTAGCCCCACACTGCTGGGGCAAGTGCTGTTGGTGAGCACCTAATAAGGGTGGGATGGCATACGAGGAGGTGATGTGGCCAGCAACAGGCTTTCTCTGACGACTTTGACTGCTTTTCTGATGCTCATATACCACACCTGGTACTCATTTTAGGCAGATTCAACCTAGGGAAGGCCCACATGTGGTTTGCTGTTGTCCTTCTCCCGCAACTCTTATTAGCGCGGTTGGCTGTGTACAGTGCAAAAGAAGTTCAACATACATATAAGACGCACGCGATCGGTGGCACTCGTGCATATGTGTCGCTCGCTATAAGTGCCTACCCATCCGTGTTTATGCTCTATGGCGGGGGGGATCTGTGTGTCTGCCGCCAGTCTGTTTGGGGACGAGTCGGAGCTGCACTTCTGGACGGTGGCCGGGTTCTACCTGCAGCACCACAAGCGCACGGCGGGGCTGGCGGGGCCCAGCGGGGACGGCCTCGACGTCTGCTACGATCTGCTCTGCGACAACGCCTACTTCCAGGTGCCCGCAAAGGAGGCCGCATGGCGCCACGCGTCTCTCCGCCCCGACGTGGGCCCATGCATGGTGACCGCCTGATTCCTGGCGTGAGTTACGGTTACGGCAAGTCTGCGTGTGTGCGTGCGTGTGTGTGTGCGGTTTAGAGGTGGCAGCTGGAGAGGGTCGGCTTGCAGGAAGCCAAGCGCGCGACGTACGCGCACACTAACAAGTGCGCCGACAAACTGCTGCTGCTGGGACAGGTGCGCCGCACGCCCGCGCCCACCACGTTACGATGCGCGTTTCCATCCGTCACGCTCGATCGCATCGCCAACCCTCTGTGCAGCTTTCCTCACCTTGAGTCCTTGTAACCCACCACGGAACAAGTTTGCGTGATTACCAACCGTCGGGTGCGTGCGTTGTGTGGTGGCCAAATTTGCATATCCATAGAGAGCAAGGACTGGAGTTGAGAACCACTCCTCTCAAGCGGCACCCTCTACCGGCTGTTCCCTCTCTTTGCTATGTGATGCAACTGCACATGGGTGTGTGCAGGTGCGTACGAGCACGCGTGTGCGTGTACGTGAGAGTGCATGTGTGTCCGTGCACGCGTCAGACGGAGCGCGCGGTGCAGCTGCTGCTGGAGACGAGTGCAGAGAACGCGGCCTACCACAGCGACTCGCTCAAGGCCTGCCTCGTGAGCACGCTGCCCGCCTGCGGAGCTGCGCAGAGCACCATCAAACTCGTCGCCACCAACATGATCGCCAGTGGCAAGCTTTCGGGTACCGCACGCTCGCACGACAAAGAGTGTCTCTTGGGACCGGTGGTGTCTCTTGCAACTGGTGGTATCACGGCCTGTTGCCGCTGTGCGTACGTGTACGTGCAGAAGGTGTGCAGCTGCTGTGTCTCATTGACAAGGCGGCCGACGCGTGCCGATACCTGCAGACGTACGGCCAGTGGAACCAAGCGGCCTGGCTCGCAAAGGTACCCGCCATGTTCCACCCACCACACTCCACGTGCCACGTGCCACCTGCCACGTGCCATCCGCCACGCTCCACTAGTCCACCTCACTTGCTGCACTTGTGCATACTCACTCACATGAGTGCTTCTGGGCTCACGTGGACAAAACAAGCATGCATCTACAAAATACATAACATGTGTGTGCGCGTGCGTGAAGATGATTGTGTACATGTGAAGCTGTGCGCGCGCGCGCGTACATGCTCGCGAACGCGTGTGTATACCTATTTCGTTGTGTGCTTGTGAACGTTTGCACGTGTATGTGTTAGAGAATGTGTGCATGTGCGTGGGTCAGTGAGTGCCCATACGCTGTTGAATGCGGGTATGTTTGTGTGCTCATGAATGCATGAATGCATGCATGTGCGTGCATGTGAATTTATGCGTTACTGTATGTGTACCAATGTTTTTACTGAACACTTGCGTGTGTGCGTGAGTGCAGGTGGGGAGTGCTAGTGTAGTGGTTAACGCACTGCGCTCACGGTCCTAGGCCTCCCCTAGGTCGACTCTTCCTAAAATTAGTACCTTGTGCGGTGTCTAAAAATCGGCACTAGGGAGACAAAGGTGTGGTGCTGGCCACCCACCCCCTTGTGTGCCGTGTCGGCCTTCATAGGTGCTCGCTAACAACACTTGTCCAAACAGTTAAGGCTATACGGGGGATCTTTACCTTTGTGAGTGCAGGTGCGGCTGGGCCAGGAGGAGTGTGGGGAGGTGCTGAAGCGCTGGGCCGATCACCTCTGCTCTCCGCACGTCAACCAGAAGTCACGCGCGATCCTCGTGCTGCTGTCGCTTGGCTGCTTCCAGCGCGTGCTGGACATGCTGCACAGGTGCGAGCACCAAGTACAGGTAGTCCCCGACTTACGATGGAGATGCGTTACGACGACCCCATCGTAAGTCGAAAATATCGTAAGTCGAAAATGGCCTCGCCTACCCAGGAGTCTTATAGAATGGTGATAATTTAGCAATTTACAGTGCCGTACTGTATAAACTAAATACTGTATGTATTTATTAATTACAATACATGCTTTTTTCACTAAAATTGGGCTTTGAAACACAAAAAACACAGAAAAAAATACACGCACTAACACCGTGACAGCTTAACTCCGTCGACCGCTGGTGAGAGTGAGGCATCACACAAGGCGGGAGATGCGTACATCCCGGCAGCGTCCCAACGTACAGTATCGTACCTCGTATGCTGCTGCGTTTACCTGCGAAATGTAAAATATTTTACAATTTTGTCAAATCGCTATCGCCATCGTAAGATCGAAATATTGTAAGTCGGACCATCGTAAGTCGGGGACTACCTGTACACAACAACAACCGCCATTTGCCATTAAGTGGCGGTAACATCACCACGGCGCTTGTGCCAGGTGCCATGGGTTGACTAACTGAGATGATTGGCCAATGCGCCACCTGTGCCCCCTACTGTGCCAACTTTCTGTGTTTTAGCCGCCTGGCACTCCACTCATTGTTGTGAGCATCACTTCTCTGCCCTCCATTGTTGCTGGAGGGCAACTGCTTCCAACTGCCCAGTAGCGTCCTTCATGAGCCTCCTCCACAGAGGCCGTTCTTGACACTTCTGGTACCAGTCATCCACTCAGCTCCACATACTCCTGTACCACATCACTCCATCTCCTCTCTTGCCTGTGCCGTGCCCATTTAGCCCCCTTTATTTGGCCGAACAAAAGCAGTTTCGGGATGCGGTGGCTGGGCATGCGGGCCACATGACCTAGCCAACGCAGTCTTGCCTTCCGGAGAAGCTCACCGATGGGACGTTATCTAGATGTTTCAAGGATTTGTGAGCTTCCCACACAATCCTACCTGGTTAAACCCTGGATGGATCGTAGGCAGGCCATGTTTTTAACCGGCGAAGATGTCCCATTAGAGGGGTCCACATTTTGCAAGTATAGAGAAGGGAGGACATGACCATGACCGAGAAGACCCGAAGCTTCGTGTGGAGGCAGCTTTCACACAGCATTATGCAGACGATTAAAAGATAATGCCACTCAACTGATTTGGAGTGAGACCTCTACTGTCAAACCGGAGCTGGTCATAAGCACACTACCCAGGTATGTAAAGCTCTCCCACTTTCTCCACAACTGCCCCATCACAAATGGGGAGTTGAGGGGTGGAGTGTTGTGATGCCACAACATACCCAGGCAGGTGCTTAGTTTTGATGGGGCTGATGGTAAGGCCCCACCTCTTAGTGGAATGCTCCGTGTCTAGCAGCAGCGCCTTCAACTCCTCCTCTGAGTGAGCAGCAATCTCCAGATCATCAGCATACGTAACATGGTTGACCAAAAGGGATCTATCCCTCGACCACACCCAGGCATCGATCAGCCTCCCATTGTATCTGTACCAGATGGAGACTCCTTCGGTACAGCCATGGAAGGCTTCACGAACTAAGTGGTCAATAAAGATGTTAAATAATGTGGGAGCCAGCGGACATCCCTGTTGTACCCCAAGGTGAACAGGGAATGGCTTTGACTCTTGGCCACGTAGCTTTATCTGGGCCTGCCCACCATCGTGAACGTCATTAATGATTGTGAGCAAAGAGTCAGGGACTCAGAGCCCAGGCCTATTCATGGTATCATGGTCCTTGACCAGGTCGATAAACCAGAGATGTAGGTCCTGTTGGAATTCCCTTCACCTCTGCTGCAGCAAACGGACAGAAAATATGGCATCTTTGCAGGACGCCCTGGCCTGAAATCACATTGGGGCTCTGCAAGCCTCTCCTCAGCGTGCCTGGCAAGTCGATGTTGACTAATCCCTGCCAGGACCTTTCTCGGCACACTGAGTAAGGAGCTGCTCCTGTAGTTGTTACAGGGCATCTTTTCAATCCTGCGGAAACCCATCCAGTGGTCCAGACTGTTATTATAATGTAATTTAGGGCAGGCTGCACACAAAAATGGAACCCTCCTTCAGCAGTTCGCTTGAGTTCGCTTGGGAAATAATGTCTACCCGCCACTCTTCCTGATCATAACATACCAACACACACATATACACGCACGCACACACACAGGCATGCATACCAACATATCTCATGCGTGTGCCCCCCACCATGCCTCTGTCCCCGCTCTCTCGGTCGCAGCATGCGCTACTTCGACCGGGCGGCGCTCTTCCTGGAGGCGTGCGTGCAGGCCGGGGTGCTCGCGGACCCAACCGACGCCACTCATATCCTTCTCCAGCTGAGCCGGCGCCGGGCACTGAGGGTATGGAAGCTGTTGGTCAGTGGCTGTGAACTGGGGTCAGTCAGGACTGATGGATATCAACTATTAAACTATATCCAATTTTTACTTTGCCAGGTCAGGCCCACTGAGCTATATAGCTCTTTTGCAGAAGCGATCTGGCCACAAATTAGAGCTCAACGGAAGTGGCTTTTCATGTGGAAATCTATGGGAGACAAATATTCTAAACACATGGTTTTCAATGTGGAGGGAAAACCGGAGGACCCGGAGAGACACACGCAAACTCCAAATATGCAGCATTTGTCAGGGTTGGGATCAACCCCACGGTATTTACATCTCGCTACCCCAGATGGTGCATGTGGTTGATTGTGAGGTTTCACTCAAAAGGAAAATTCACGGAGTGTGATGCACTCCAATACCAACTAGAATCTGTAAATGAACAGTTATGCAGTGCTAGAACAGAATCGGTGACGTTGCAGTGCCCTCATGACCCATGGGCTGATTTATTAAAATGTTACAATTTTGAGGAACAAAATGGAAATTTCGATTTAAAGCTTTCGTGACTGCAGGGATTCATCTTCTTGGTTCTTTCGGTAAAGTCACGTAGAAGGGAAGTAATAAAATAATAAAAATAAAACATAATAAAATAAAATAATTCTCACGACGTTTCGGCTACAATGCAAGCAGCCGTCTTCAGAACCAAGAAGAAAAATGGAAATTAATATAAATGTGAGAGAAACACAGACGCAGCTCACGATGATTGGCAGCAGGAGCACATCTGATGATTAATTGTGGCCTCATCACATCCACACCATCCTCCACAACTTCATGACAGTTGTGTTTGATGAAGAAGACTTCCATTTTGTAACTATATTGAACCTGTGAGATGCTTGTGATTGACGTATCCCACTTTGAATCACGTATCACATTCGATTAACATCACACCCGGCACCTGATTAGTGCGGTTGGCCATATACGGTGTGAAAGAAGAACATACATCCTATAAAATTATGGAACCTAGGAGGAGCAGAGACTTGGTTGTGTGTGATGGACCAGAGCTTTAAGATATTATCCCCCGTTGGAAGTGATTGACATCCAGATGATCCAAAATAACACGATCTGATACTTTCCGGACAATTTTCCTCCTCGCGTGGAAGAGGTACCCATCCAATGGCTGGACTTAGCCTCTAATGGCGCTGATGTGGTCATCTAATGGCGAAATGTGGCCGCTGGAAGCTTAATCGCGTTGAGAGGATTGTTGATTCACATGGTAAATAGAGGAAACAGCACCGCCTAAACAGCACGTGGCGTATGAAAGGTTGAGGGGTAATTCCTCCCTTGCACCTGAGAGTGGTGATGAGGGCCACGTGCATTTATGCCACTCCTGCTCTGCCACAGCGCCCTGTTATCGTACACATCTCGTTAAAAATTGGCGCGTCCTGGCAAGAGCTGGGGTCACGGCCGTGGTTGTGGTCGCAGTCGTGGTTGAGGACGGGCTGCACGGTGCATGACGGCGTGACTGCACCAAGAGCCAAACGAAACGAGGGGTCGGTGGGACGTGTGTACAGCAGTTTTATAGGGGAAAATGCAAAAATCTCCCCTGTATTGCCTGAACAGACTGTTGGGGCAAGTGCTTTTAGAGAGCACCTATACAAGCTGGCATTGGACACGAGGCGGGGGGTGACCAGCACCACGCCCAGCTGCCTCTGTCTCCCTAATGGTGATGTTTTCCCACCGTACCAGGTACTTATTTTGAGTCTGAGTTGACCTAAGGGGAAGCCCAGGACCGGTTCAGATAATTGTCGCTGGTGTTGGCTGTGAGGGGAAATCAAACTCGGGTTGCCGGGTTTGTAGTGCAGTGCGCTAACTGCTACGTCACCGCTCTCCACAGAGGCAGTCCTATGTTCGGATCTAAAACATTTGCATGCCGAGCGTTTACATCCGTCAATGTAGAATGATAGGAGGATGAAATGGAGAGAATGAACCTGTCAACGTGCCAGGCCGTCTGGGCCAGCATCTCAGATCAGCACTGTGCCACACGCTGGACTCACCCTCGCACGCGCTCAAGTAGCCTGCACTGCCTCTTGCATTGTTTTACAGACGCACGCTTTCTATTTGGCTCGAGATTGTGCTATTTTTTCTTAAGGGTTCCCGCTTGCTAAGGTGTGCCATTGCCTGTCGTTTGGGAGGTGTTGTGTATGGAAGACTGTTATGTTAAAAACACAAAGGGACACAAATGTGACACTCAGTGAGCAGAAACGCCATATTGATTATCCACAAGAATGGTTCAGCTATTCGCTTGGCGTTTTGCTGCTGACAATTGTGAAATGGGAAAATTTAAGCTTTGAAGGTGAACGGCTATTTCGTCATTTGGTCAGCTGCTGCTTCTGCTGCTGCTCCGTGTGGGTTTGTGTTTGTGCTTCCCTTGGCCTGCAAGGCACTACGTGTTTTGCTGTGATGCCAAAAGGTCTAATTGAGTCCCCGTCACTCTGCTGGTTTACTTGATTGACAAATCCATTGTAATTTGTATTTACCTGCTCAAAAGGTAGTCCTACTCCCCCTGGGCACTGAATACACACACCCTGTAAGTACACACACATCCACAAGCATATGCACGCACGGTATGCACACCAGCTCTTGGCCGTGGACGCGCAGGCACAGACGCATGCACACTCACGCGAGTGAGTAAAGCAGAAACGTGCCGGCACGTCCGACACTGTTGGTCGATCCGAACGTCGCTCATTCACTGCCATCATCCGCACAGTGGTCCGGTCTCGACACGTCTTCTTGCATGTGGCACAGTGCAGTTCTCAACTCCTGGGCCGCGGGCTTGCTGGTGGGCCACAATGCTGTGGGAAGTGGTCCATGGAACTGGTTCAGATCTTTTCACAAAGTACAATAATTTGTGCTGCATGGTGGTCCACATCTGTTGGGAATCGCTGGCATAGTGAATGGCATCTTAAGGATCTCTGTTTGTATTTCAGAGCCATGCGACGGCTTCAGCTGAGGCTGAATGAATCGCTGTTGTTGCCTCCATTGAACTCGCGTAGCACGGTCTCGCTCACAGCGGACAGCAGCAAGGCTGCGTACAGCCACTGGGTGTGTGGTGTTCACACCGCACGTACCGCACGGTGCTTCTCCACTGGCTGAGGAGATGTAACAACATTTCTGGGCTTGCTCGCGTGAGCAGCCCACGGATAGAGCAAAATACCTGTGAGCTCATCACGCGGGCAAGCCCAGACTAAGCGATGACGAGCGTAGTAGAGAAGTCAACACGAGAGTGCAAAGCCAGCGTAGGCGAACTTGCAAGGGGGTCCCATGTTTCGCCTTCTTGGCATTATTGTCGCTGAACGGACCCAATGCTTTGAAGTGACAGCTTCCACCGCACAGTGTTTCACAGGTGACTAATTCAACTTCCAGATCCGTTCAAAGAGAACAGAGATTTTTGCAGCCAGAGGCCTGAGCTCGGAGTAGTCGACTCAGTGTCACTCGAGGAGAAGGGACTCAGCGGAGGAAGCCATGGTGCTGCATGCGGATGCAGGAAAGGGGTTTTTCTCGTCATAAAAATGCAAAAGCACGATTTCCTGAACAGAACAATTCAGAAACCTCACCTCGGAATGGACCACATTCACCGGGTCATTGCTAAATGTGTGATTAAATAGCAAGATTAAATAGGAATAATAATGGGGTGTTTCATTTCACTGAGAAGAAAGGAAGATATTGATGTTTTAACCAACTGGCCCCTAGGGAGGTTTAGATAGTCTTAAACGTGCTGGAGAGGACAGGTGGAGTTGATGTAATACTATGGATATGCTCCGATGTCAATGCGTGATGTGGTTCAATGACCTATGTCTGCAGCCAAATGTTTACATTTACAGGCTTTCCTGTGAACAGAGAGCAGATGGAGATTCCTACGGAATGGCCCTGTAGACGATCAAAACATGTCCAATAGCCGGCTTTGACTCTGGTTTGCTTCCATGGTGGAGCATTACACATGGTAGAGGGTCCTGAAGGTCTGTATTAGAAGTGGGCATTCACAAGCACAGAAGACTAAAAGCCTGGATTATTGGTGTCGTGGGATGATCTGTGATCTCCCTCGCCTTGTATATAGCAGGTCGTGGGTTCGATCACAACCCTGATGCCTGTATATTTGGAGTTTGCATGTTTTCCCTGTGGTAGCGTGGATTTTTCTCCAGGTCCTCCGTTTTTTTCCTCCACATTTAAAAACATGCGTTTAGAGTATTTGGCTGGTATAAGTTTCCACATGATAAACCGCTTCGTTGAGCTATCATTCATGGGCAGGTCGCATCTGAAAAAGAGATATTTAGTTTAGTGGGCCTTACCTGGTAAAAATAAAAAAAGTTTAGTTTTTTTTTAAGTTTAGGACTTCCCTTTGGAATTCCTTTCAGCTGTAGCGGCTGCCCACTTTGCTGCCCTAGGTTGCCCACGTAGCAGTATTTACAAATTATCTCCACAACCTTTCCTCGCACGTAGAGGCGACACCCTTTTAGTTGCTGCAATCTGCACCATCCCCTCTCAGAGTGGAACCTCTTGTAAAGCCTTTCCATGGACATGTGGGTTGGGCAGTTGCCTCTGCAAGGAATTTGAATGGGTCTCGTATTTAATTAATTACCTGATGAGTTTCCTGTGAGCAGCTCCACCTCAGGGTTTCTATAAATTAGAGTTTGGCTACAAGATGGAGTAGTTGGTACTGTTATTTCATGGCTGACTTTTAGGCATTGTCGTTAAAAGCATTTTTACGTGCAAAGGTCACGTCCCCTGCCATTATTCCTGCGCGAGAGAACCAGGAGGCCAGAGCCGCCTCCATTATCCATCATGATTTTACTGCGTTGGTCGGACCTTTCAGGCCAACTGGCTAAAAACAACCTCTCCCTCTATGGCATTGCGCGACACAAACAGCACATACTTGCCTAACAGGGGGCTAAACTGAGGTGAAGGATGAATTGCCAACACGACATACGCACACACACATGCACTTACATGAGCGTTTAATTGTACAATCCCACACACAGTGGAGCACAAACATGCAGTGTGTACTTGTACTTTGCTATCACCAAGGTTCTTCTGCTCGAGGCATGAGTGTAACAGCATTTGCCCTGTACCTCCTGCAGAGTCTATGGCCATGGTGTTTTTATGCCGGCTGTGCCAGGAGCGGTAGGTTCGGCCACGGCTGAGTTGATGGCTGTGAGGTGATGTCTCGGTAGCAGTGGGCATTTATGATACATAGATACACGTGTTTATAGCACTCTGCACAGTTTTCTAAGATTCCGAGGCATGGGAAAGTGGGCTGAAGCAGCGCCAACAATTACCACAGCTGTAGCATTATATTGGGATGTTTGGCCAAGTCCATGAATGAGCATTTATTAACACGATGGTTACGGCTCGGGAGGGTGGCTGTGAGTTGTCTCTTTTGCCAGCTCGTGGTGTTTTTCCTGACCCGCGTGTGTGCGCGCGCCTCGCTGCACGGCCCCTGACGGAGTCGGTGTGCGCGGAGTACGGCCGCTACCTGCGCTCGCTGGGCCTGGGCAGCGCGGCCGCCGAGTACGCGGCACGTGGCGGCCCCGCCGGCGTCGAGATCCTGGCTCAGCTCGCGCCGTCTCGGGAGGCGGAGACACCGGACTCCAACAAGACGAGCGGCCTCGAGCCCGACAAAGCGGCGCCGCATGTGCCGGGGACGCTGGGCTCGTCGTGCTTGGTAGAAGCGTAGGGCTTGCCGACTCCGGGGGCCCTCCGGGGTGCCGACCGCAGGTGGGGGGGGGGGGGGGGGTGCGCTTAGGAAGGATAGAGAGCGCGCGCGCGGGGCCCAACGCAGCAAACGTAGGACTCTTCGATAAGACGGCGTGCGGGGGGCCCCATGGCGCCAGCGTGCGGCACGCAACACTGCATCAGAGGCGCAGCGTCGGAGCGCCTTTCACGAATCTATTCCGTGGGGCACGAAGAGTTGCAAAGGAACAACGGACTGTAACGAGTGGACCGTTAGCAGAAAATTTCTTGAGAGTGCTCTTTATTAAAAACCATATGAAACACTGAGGCTATAATTTGCAATGGAGATAGTGGGGAAATGCAGATGCACGGATGAGGGTTGAAAAACCTTTAAATCTAACACACCGACACCCTAAAATGATTTGATGTGACGATGTATTTGATACAAACACAAGGTACAATATAATTGATGTACACATTGCTTTGGCCAAAGTGGCCCTGGAATGTGGCTGTGGACAGGCCTATTGGAGAGGACTGATGGTAGCGTTTAGGTGTGCAATGCAGAATCACATTTTTGGATTAAGCTTGAATCATGAGCAGTTATCACCTGATTGCATCGAGTCCATTCTGTTTTGAGTCACACGTTTGGCCCCACTATGAAATGGGAACACAGCTGACACGTGTTTAAAGGTTCCATCGGCAGGGAGTAAAACCCCAGCTGAGGGGCAGCGCACACCAAGGCATGTCGCTCGGTCCCTGTCCTCCAGCTGATACCACCAAAAGGAGTGGGGGACCCCTTGAGCTGCTTGTGGGTCTGTGGGCCACGCTGCCCTGGGCGCGGGGTGACATCGCGAGGCGTGACGCGAGGATGATGTGCGAGAGGAGCTCTGCTATACTAGGATACGTGTCGGATCGTCCGGTGCAAACACGTGACTCCACAGCATGGGATGTATTTACCGATGTTATCATTATCTTAAGAAAATGAGACAAAAGCATTCCTTCTTAAAATTCCAAATGCACACATTCATTTGCGCAAAGCTTGGCTTGCATTGACATGAGCACGCTCTGAACAGATCTGTTCTAGAGCGGTAAGCTGTGTGGACCGTGTAATCCAGCCCCAAGACACAGGTGATGGCACCAGCCAACCTCTTGATGATCAGACTCTCATGCCTGTGTCGTCCAGGTTCAGAGCGGACATTGGTAGTATTTGAGGTGGCAACGTTCAATTGGTACACATTACATAACAATGCAAATAAAGTTAACTATATGATCACTTTTCAAATCGGTTTAACGGTGTTTTTTTTGTGGTTAAAATGTTTTTCCATTTCACGTGATGCGGAACGTTAAATATGTGGACTACCAAATTCTTATCGGACTTCATGTAGCGGCCTCTTGCCAACAACAGTTGTCTGCGGGAGCAGCCGCTGTGTTATTTGCTGCCGTTACGTGTGCACCTGCAGATACGCGATGCAGACCACCGATGTGCACGCACAGGTGAACGACTGGCAGCAGCCGACCTCGAGGTGGATCAGCTGTTCCTCCTGGATGAGAGTACAATACTGTATGGACACGCTGACCACTTTATAAAGCGATGTTTAAGTGTTCCTGCCGAACGTAACTGTACTCAAAGCTGTTGTTGCTGTGATGATGTGATGATCTAAATAAACTCGACGTGACTTGCATTGTTGGCCAAGGCGTTTTCAGCTGCACGTTTGACACCGATTTATTTTGTAAATGCGATTCGGGATGAAATGTTCTCATTTAGGGATTTTGTTGTTGTTATACTTAATGTTTTAAGAACAAAACGTTTAAACAGTTTCTGGATAATTCCTTTTGGCTGTAAAATCAAAAACAAGAACACCTCATTGGAAATTGTGAACTTACATTTGAAAGCTGTAGAAAGTATTTTTTGCTTTAATCAGCCTCGGCCAAAAGAATTCCTGCACATTTTTAAATAAAGAGGCAAAAAAAGATTGTACATTTTAAAATTACAAAGCAATTGCATCCAGACAAGTTACATCCAGCAAGTGAGAAATAATGCTGACTGAACAAAAACGTGGTAATGTTACCATATGTAAAATGTGGTGGTCATATTTTAATTAATACCTTGACCATAGACAATTCAAGTTTCGTGTCAACAGTGGAGACACTTAGGCTATAGGGCCAAGGACAGAATAGTTCTCATCAATAATCCATCAAAATTCGGACCCTCGGTGGTCTGATAATGAAACCTGTCAGTTAAACTGGTCTTCTCTTCCAACACACTTTCTGCCTGCCCATCCTAGTCGGCAAAGCTCTTCTAAAAATAATCCAAACAAACCTGGAATGTCTTTTATCTACTCCACCACGCCTTCCGACCGCGCGCTCGTGCGTGTTTTAGTCTCTCACTGCAATGATCTGATAATTATAAACGTGTAAAGTGGGGCTGGATTCATGTCATGTGCAATAAATGGACCAATAAATTAAGATATCTGTCAGGGAGAGTAACCAATACACGTCGGAGTACGTGTACATAGGGCAGCCAATAAAAACAGTGACAGACCAGAGCAGGTTGGGGTGCTTTGAACCGTTGGACTTGATAAAAGCAACATACCAATGTCTCTAAGAAGTTGCTTAATCAGTGGACATTGGAGCCATTAAATCGGCCTTGTGTTGTGCAGGAGATTAAATGAGACCGTGAGATATGACAATGACTTGAGGCATTCATCCAGCAGTGGATAACGCATGGCTGATAACCATGATGACTCCACCATCAACAACGTCTTGTTTGGCATACTCGTTTATGGTCAAATTAATTGGTGGCCAAAACTGATTTGATTAATTGGTGGCCGTATATTTTCAAGTTTAAACGTATTCCCTTTGTAATGGTATTTTCGAGGTTTGTATAATTGACATGTGCAGACATATCCTGCATGTACATATGGATGTGTAATATTTATCCCGTAAATTTAATACCATATTCCCATTGTGGAAATATCCAAAAATTTGCTTTCAATTTTCTTTCGTTGCCCATGACATGGGATGGGATGGTGTGGGGCGGTGCAGTGGTCCAGCAGCAGGCAAAGGGACCAATAGGATGAAAGTGGAGGGAAGGTAACCTGGGGTTACCTGAATTAAAATGAGGGAAGCTGGCTTCAATGCACAGTGCCTGTGATATATCAATTCGTATGAGCTGTCACTTTGCTTTTATGCATTCTTTAAGCCGTGTATCCACAATGTATCGCGTATATACAAAAGCGTGACTGAAGTTCCATGGATGTGTTGACAGACAAGTATGTCTAATGGGTTGTGAACTCAATACCATTGAAAATAGGTAAATGCAGGGCACAACTTTATCCGGAGCTCTGGGGCTGAGCCTTAGAACATGATTTCCGTGCAACCTGACAGTGCAATTGTCTGACAATGAAAGGAAATATTGATCAAAGTTATTCTGCACTGCAATAAGATATTGGACTTATCACAAGATGCATAAGGAGACATTTGAAACAATAAAAATGTAATTTTAGCACGTTAATATCCCAATAAGCTACATCATGCGTTGATGGCGTGTGCGAACTGGAATACAGCATCAAGGTTATTTTTACTTGAAAGCATTTAGCAATAAGTCTTCAACGCATCTCTGAAAATATTCAGATGGAAGAGTTGCCTTGATTCATTTTCCGTGGAGGTAACTTTATACCGGGGGTAGTCGGGCAATAACCACCACACGTACGAAGCCGAGGTGGCAGTGAGGGTGCTAGGAAGTAGAGGGTCTTGTGGAAGGTGATGTGTGTGTGAGTAAAGGCTCGGCCAGGCAGGCTGTGTCAGACAAGGAGGAAAAGGGGAGACAGCTGCATCCCTTCAAAGAGGCCTGGTCGCAGTGGACTACTAACACCATGCTGGTTTTATGGGCAGTGCGTTCCACCACGCAGCCGACTGCAGAATCACATTCGTGCCGCCTGCTTAAAATTAGACCTGCCTCGACAGTCGTAGCAGCCCTTGAAATGAAAATCTCTACGTACATGCCAATGGAAAGGAGTGGCCACAACATGCGTGGCACGCAGTTGTAAGTGCCATCCAAACGTGGCCCTCTGTGACTGATGGCCCTTGCGCGCACCAGAGTGTGTGCTGTGCAAACACTACCGTTTAGTTCAGTAGTGCTGGGCGGCGAAACGCGCACGGCTTCGAGACATGCGCCGCATTCCACTTTGCTTACAGCCGCGGCCCATGCGGAGACGGAGACCTTTCAAAACAAAGCGCTCCCACCTCCCGTCACGTTGACTTGAGAAATACGGTGGCGATGTGCGCGCGCGTTGGCACGCGAGTTTTTCAAACTGCGGTGAATGCGCTCGCTACTGAAGCAGCAGAGATTCTTCTCTCGGCTTTGTTGGATACAAACTCCGTTCGTAGCCGCGGACAGGTGTCCGCCTGCCGCTGCAAAGGCTCCTTCACCGCCACTCCAGACACCAGCTCCCAAAGCACACCCCGCTGCTGCGACTCGTCCAACGTGCACCGAATACAATAGAATGAGGTTATTACGGTTTAAAAGTACGGCACTGTATTTTGTATTTGGACTTTATTCAAAAGGCACCTTAAGGTGATGATTAGCTTTAGACCACCTGTCTTTTGAAGACACCATAAATATTAACCCATTAAACTTCTCCAGGGCCGTCCATGATTGGGGGTGCGGGGCCCGGGGCAAACTACACACCCTGGTGGGCCCCTCCCTCGGCGCCTTCAAACTCAACCGAAGTGTTCCATCTGGCACCGGGACGTTGAATCGCGGGGACCCCCCCAAAGTGCGGGGCCTGGGGTGGTCGCCCCTCGGGAGGGCTCTGAACTTTTTTCTCAAAGAAGCAAACACAATCTATACATTAAATATACATTCTAAATGCATTGCCAAATATATATTCCAAAAACGGATACATTTTGTGTTCGTAGAAAGAATAGCGAAACTAATATTTTTAACGAACAATGTGGGAACTGCATCACTCTTCTTGCCAGCAATTGAATAAATGTAACATTGCAGATGTTTGATTTTTTTTTTATATATAGAATACGATCATCCTCACTTAACGCTTTGTGTCCACACGCGTTTTCGCTATAACGCGATTCTTCCATTCGTCACATTACCTACGGGGCCGTCCATAAATGACGTCACGCGATTTTGGACGATTGTTGCCCCCCCCCCTCGTCACACGGCGTCACAAAAAGTCAGACCCCCCTCAAATATGACGTCACAAAGCTCTGCCCCCCCCCCCAAATTATTAATGCTTCAAATCGCTTTAAACTATTGCCATTGTAGTGCGTATTTAATATGGCGCTGCACTCTGATGTTGTAGGAGAAACTTTTATTAAAAAGTCAATTTAATTAATTAGAACGTGTTGTCTATATTTATTTAAAGTTGCGCATTTTGATGTTACGTCACATTTCTCAACCCCCCCCCCCTCGTCAGAAATGTCTGACCCCCCCCCCCCCCTAGGTGCGTGACGTCATTTATGGACGGCCCCTCTACGGGGAAATTGTTTTCGCTTATCGCGGCACTTTTCAGGAACGAACCTACCGAGCTAAACGAGGACTCGCTGTATAAATCAACGCCAATGCTAAAGATGAGTTACCACTTCATAGAATGCCATGGTCGTGTATAAGATCCCCACAATCATTCTTAGTTTTAATGTTTCATTATTTTCTTGGATATTTGTGAATTCCTTTTCTAGCATTCTGAGAAAGCCCCAGAGGAATGTATGCCAGGTGGATCGTAGTATTATTATTATTGATCGATAAGTCGTAACAACGTGTCCAGAATGGCTTCTGCTGCATCCTTCCATGTGTTTGAGAGGCTAAATGATGACGTGCTGCTGCTGTTCCAGCACTGAGTGGAGGAGGTTGGGCACAGCAGTCGAATATCCTCCTGCGTGATGAGTCGAGGTGCTGGAGGTGTGTGGGGAAGCTTTGATGAAGGCGGAGTGGCGACTGGAGACGGGGCATGTGGAGCGTCGATATGCGGAGCGAGTGGGGCTGATGGGTTCAAGAAAACTATAGGGATGAGGGAAGATGTTGGGGAAGTGAGTGCAGCAGGGTAATAAGTAAGGAGGGTGTGAGGGAGGAAGTGATTGACTAATCAAGTGGGGTCGGATAGGAGCTGAGTGTTGGGGTTGGGTGAGTTGTGGAAAGGATCGGGACAGCGGTGGGACCATTGATGTGCGAGGAGGGAACGGAGGATCGAGGCAGCAGTGGAGCAGGGACGTGCGGTCAGGGGAGGCAGGGGAGGCAGAGCCTCACCTGTCATACTCCAATGAAAACAGCTGTTACGAAAAGTAAAAAAAACATCTAATAAAATAAATATTAAGATGTTTCCAGTGATCTGTATTATAAATGTCATTTCTGTACGATTCCAATCATTTTTATGGTAAAAATCGATAAATTTGCGGAGCTCCGCTGCAAATACAGGAAGAGACGAGAGGTGAGGCAGCGACGAGCTCAGCCTCCCCTCTGATTGCGCAACCCCTCAGTAACTGGATGGAGCGCGGGCAATAAGCGCGTGCCTGCTACTATCTCAGTATGTCACCAATGTAATGTTTGTAGACCCCTCCATTTCATGTCCTCGCCTTCCATACTCCAGGTAACTTATTTCACGTATGTGTATAAAGATATTGAGGCTCGCTGGTCTCGTCATGAAACTGCAATGAAAAAGCACCAGGGGAGGCAGCTA